TTTCGCCACCTCCCCGCCCCTTTAGGAGACCAGCAGCAGGTCTGAGTCTGTTCACTCCAGGGGGGGGAGTGAACGTGATCACAGATTATGATCAATTCTTTTGCCCGATAGTCACCGAAATAAATATTGGATTCATTTTTCTCAAGCCACAGATGTTCCTAACATTCTGATACTAAAAGGGGAAAATTAACTTACTTGAGACCTGTCTCTATCTCAGCAACACACCTTCACGAGAGATATGATCTACTGGGTTTATCAGATAAAAATGAGCAGCAAAATCAGGTGAAATTTTGTACTGTATAAAGCCAGTGTTGTATTGTTGTGTATGTTATTGTTGTATTGTTTTGACACAGACAACAAATTCATCAGTTAGTGTTTGTTTGCACAAGATTTGTGCAGCAAGTAGACAGGAAGTGTAAATCATTTCATACCATTAGTGATACTTGTAATGCGTCATCTTTGTTATAAAGTATCTTGAGTATAATTGCTTTGTTTACCTTTAGCATGCTAACATTTACTAATTGGCACCACACACAAAGTACTGCTAAGGTCACAGACCAAAGTATTTGACCTGATGGTGGCACTAGATGAAAAGCTACAGGATCATCAAGCTATTACAGTGCTTCCTGAGGAGAAAAGGAATGATTTCATGGCAATCCATCCAATAGTTGTTGAGACATTTCACTCATAACTACAAATGTCATGCTCAAAGGGGAATTCAGGACGAACCAACTGCACAATGACACATGAGAACAGCAGCACAGAGAGCAAACTGCAGTATGAAAGCTGTCCAACAGAAACTAAACGTCATAAAGACTATATGGAAACTACCACATTAAACCCCAGGCAGTTCTGTTTTCGCTACGCAGACAGATGTCAAAGTAGGGTCTTAATCGGATTTGAACCTTGCAGCAGGCCAGCTGTGGACACCTCTGCTTGTTTCTGCTGAGGCCCTAACGTTTGAAAACGGGCACATTAATGACACTCAGATGTCTTTCATTAGGCCCCAGAATTGACACTTGAACTAGAGGGCCTCATTTCCGCTACCATGGGAGAGTGAAAACTCTGCAGAGCTAAACAGTGAGCTCTCTATGGTTGCATGCATTTCCTCTTGGGAACACTACAGGAATATCTGTCATGTTTGATTCTCTTTCTTCGGAGCCACTGACTGAACACCATGTTCTGAAACTGTGTTTGAGCTCTGCTGTGCTGCTTAATCTGAACAATAGACTCTGAGTAAAAGGCTTGTACTTTAGAGAACCATCCCTGCTATACAGCTTTAAAGCTTGATGTCCTTGAAGTGTACAGCTGGTGTTGAATATAAATGAATGAATTAGAAATCAAGCTAGTGATCTGCCTCAATATATGGTGAAGTTCCACAAGCAGCAGTTGGTGTGAGTTCTTATCATTAAGGGAAGGAAAACACTACTTCCACTGCAGTGTCACTCGGTACCTTACTTTGATTACTCGACTGTCAGCCCCTAAAAAGTGCCTTTAAACACCTCCAAATCCTCCACAACACACTTTGCATCTTTTGTAATATGCAAATGTAGAAATAGAAAACAAGACACAGTAGTTTAACAAGCAGGCAGCTGCACAGTTTGCAGGAATTTTACTGATCGTCCGGCAGCGAGCTCAACCTCAATGATTGCACACAGTTCTGCAGAAATCCTAACCTCAGAAACACAGTTATACACCCTCCAACTGAAAAACACAGATGACCTCTGAATGTTCAAGTACCTGTGGCTAACATTTTCCACAACAGCTAACCAATATTCAAAAAAATTTAAATAAGACAACTTTGGAATCAACCACATCCTGGATCAGTCTGATATCAGCCCTCCAACAAACTCTCAGTGACGTAGCCAACAAGTCGACCCCCAAATGTCAAAGTGAAGGAGCTTTACAGGGATTAGTAACTACTGTAATCACACTACACTAATCATTACAGAAAAAAAGTAATCACATTAGTTTAACATGTTGCTACCCAACACTGTTCCCTTGCATATCAGAAAGTTATGCTTTTTTTAATTTCACTGTCTGTTATATTTTAAAATGTATAGATTGTTGGGGCAGCTACGTAATGTAAAAGGGTTCACACAGTCAATTTTACTATATAATACTCTACAATTTCTGGCAAGCATTATTGCAATGACTACATCAGATAAGCACATCATATGCATATCTGCAAATATAGTAATTTCCCAACATTAATGAGTAACGGCGCCTCCATGTTAAGAAATTACAGTCCTGCAGTGTGTTTCTGTTTCTGAACTATTGAGCCTGCTGGTGACTCACCTAACACCCCTGAGACGTCAGCGTCCAACAGACCACATTCACAAAGGCAGAGAACAGAATTTGCATTGTACTGGTTCTATGTGTTCACACACACACATATATATATATATATATATATATATGACACTGAAGTCAGGCACATGGCGAGTGCTTGATTCTCAGTAAATGATCAAAGGTGTGACAACAAGACCAGTTTTATAAACTTTGTTATGAACTTTTATCGCCTACACAGACTTCTAGATATGCTAGACTGTGCGTTTAGATAAAATAGATATAATATAGTACCATTTATTTATTAAAACACAGAATTCAGAAAAAAAATCATGACGATTCATCTAATAAAGGCAAAAATAAAAGAAGCATTAATAAATCAGTATTAAATACGAAGAAAATTTTGAGGTTTGATACTGGGCCCTGATTTTTTGATTGAGTATAATGACTATTTCTTTGGTTACAGCTCTGTTATTGTAAGTGTTGGTGAAAGACAAGCCAGTGTTCATGTTGGTAAATAAAGCCACATTTCTAAACACAAACCATGGATGAAAGGAACATAAACATTTCTTTCCCGACTCACAGGCCTTCGCAGTTAAACCCTCGCACTGTCACAAGAATAAACGCATTGTGACGGAACTCGCAGCCCACAAAAGTCTGCTACTATTTACTACCAACATAACATGTTTAGCCTTGTTTTCTCAGCAGACCTTGGCAAGCAGAGGTCAGCTTTAACCACGCCAATCTTCTCCGGTGTTTTCGGAAGCTGTTTTTAGAAGCAGGAGGCCCTCTCTCAAAAGTTTATTTGAGCTAAACATGGAGAGAAAGAATGCATCAGGGAAAAGCAAAGGCAAAAGTTTTAGCTAAAAGCAGCTCTAGAGGTCACAAACCCAAACCAAGAGTACGGCCCACCCCGCAATCTAGCTGCAAAAATAGACAGATCTGTGCCAAAAATGATATTCAGAAGTATGGAACAGAACAAAAGCAGGAAAGGAAGTTATTGTGTTGCACAGAAAATTGTTGAGTCTTGTTATAATCTAACAGACTCTTAATCACCATATGGTTTAAGAAACCTTCAGAATGTAGGAAAGACTGCTGAGGTTTGTGCTTGTTGGTCAAGCATGTGATTTACTGCATAACATCATAGATAACTGCTCTTCTGGGATCATCGGTTGTAGACCAGCTCTCAAACTTGCAGGATAAGGATGTGTGTGTGTGTGTGTGTGTGTGTGTGCGTGTGTGAGCAGTGGAGGCAAATAACTGTAACAGGCGATTATTTGTACCACTTTACGCCTCTGAGCCTGAGATCCCCCCTTCGGCACCAAGCATGTGTCGCAGAGGGTAATCATACACATTCATCACTTCTGTACCATACGAACACAGCAGCAGCACACACACACACACACACACACACACACACACAGATTGCACATACATCACTTCCGCCTCAAGGGGACAAGTTCACACATAAGGTGTATGTCACTCACGAAAAGGACACAAACAAACACACACACACACACACACACACACACTAACGTCACATGTGCGGAAGACAGGCCTGGGTGTGGCCTCGCGCGTGCAGTAAGTGGCCTCGTAAATCAGGTGGGAGCCCTGGCCCCGGTAGCAGCAGCTGTTCCCTGGGGGTCTGGGGTCACATCCATTCAGCTGGTGGCTACTGGCTCCAGCTACTGCCTTTCAACCCCCCCCCCCCACCCCTCCCCACTGTCCTACATTTACCCTCCTCCTCAATTAGCCTTCCTCCCCCTCCCCTCCATGCTGTCTGTCCTCCACCCCTTCCTGCCTCCATTTCCCTGATTAAACTGATGCCTGGGCTCTCCGGCTACAGTGTGGAGTCAGCTCGGTCGGCTGTATTTATTAGGCCTTTATCCTCCTGCTCTCTTTCAGATGAAATGAGGGGGGGGGGCGTCATTGCTTGATCCAATCAATGGATCCTGTGCAGCCTGTCAGTCATGCACTGCATGAGCAATAACAAGCAGCAGACTCTTTATGTTTCGCCACATAGCCTCTGAATGTATCCTTATGTCTTTGTTGTACATCCTCAAACTGAAGTCCTACTCAACTAGCTTCACTGACCCACGCTCTCAGCACTTGAAAACTCCTCTCACCTCTCTCCCTCTGGGCCACCATCATCTGATGTGAAGTGACCCCTGAGTAATTTAAATAGACCATGTGAGATCACTTGTTGAAGCCCTGTCATATGACAATCCACATTAAAGAGGAGGGTTGCAACAACAGCTTCTTGCATGTTCCATGATGGATAAATAATACCACAGTATCCACAATGCAGATTAGTTTAATAATGATGCTCTAATACAACCTCCACCCTCATTACCATCACTTTTTAAAAGAGCAATAAGCCCTATATTTCCACAAGTACTTCCCAGCAATTAAAAATCACCGATTTGAAAGGAAAACCCTCCTATACTTGAATGCTGTATATCATTATTGTAATGACACTATATATAAAGCATGTAAAACTACTATATGGTCACATTTCTGAGTACAATAGGCAGCCATTAGTCCATACAGGAGAATTAAAATAGACAGGAAATTCCTTTAAGTACCTTAACACCATCATGGATTTAAATATTAAGTATTGCAAACATACTAGAATTCACGACAAAATTATCACAACAGCAAAAGATTAAAAATATAAAATAAAAAAAGAGAAGCTGTATTAGCCTGTTTACCTTGGCGCCGTGCTGGGCTGTTACATTCAGAAGGAGCTAGCTCTCCGTGTCCAGCTCCCAGTGATGACCCGCTACGCTGCAGCAACTATCTGCCCTGTTGGCACCGGGGGCCACTTTCTCCTCCGAAAAAGTCACGGTAGATTTCCCCAGCTACTCATTCCCCTCAGTCTACCTCCACAGAGAGAATGTTTATACAGTTTACACTGAAAACCAAATGCGGGAACAGCTCGACAGCTTGAACTGACACAAAGTCTAAGCAGCGGCAGTGAGGACCTCTTTTCCTCGATCTAAATCGGGAAAAACGGAGGGACAGACCAGCAGTGCTCTGCTCCTGCTGCCTGAACTATACAACCGTTAGCTTACACAGTGTACTGTAGAGCATTTCCGGTAAGAACCTCCAAAATAAAAACCCGGACTCGCATGCAAATCTAATGAGTGATTTAAAAAAAAAAAAAAAAAAAAAAAAAAATTAACTAAAACCATTCAAGCACGTTCATGATTATAGACTTGACTTTAAAATATTCTGTAATATAATTACTTTGGGTTTACATATAGCTACCATATTTTTAGATTTAGTTTTAGATTATTTATTTATTTACTGCAATAGGAATGATGCAATTTAACATAGTTCTAATACAAAAGAGGAAACAGATGTGTTGCACAGAGAATTTATAGCTATTGCTAATTTTCAACTCTTGTCCCTAGTTGGGCTTTTACATGTACAGTGTAATTAAAACAGTTCATTTTCATTATCATTAAACCCCAATACACTACAGAGGAAAGCAGAATTAAATACTACATTGAGATGCATTGATTTTGATGCTAAGTCTAAGAAGAGACAACAAAGACAGCAAAAACAACACAAAACAAACAGACAACACAATCGATAATATCATACAATTAGCTAAAACAAGGTAGAAGGTTTGGTCTCAACATTGGTAGGGATGCAACAAACCTGCCACCCCTCCAAAACAAAGAGATTGGCTTTTTAATGCCGTCAACCACACAGTTTAATAATAGAACTGAATGTGAATTCAGGAATGCCCATATGCTAATGTAATATATGTACATGTGTTGAATTTCCATATATGAAACATATGTACATATGAAGTAAAATCAAATATGTATTTAAAGTATAGCCTTTATATGTCAAAATTGTACCAAGAGATAAGCCACGCAGGCGTAGGGGACAACATGCATGCTCCACACAGAAAGGTTGAAGCCCTGGGAAGTCATGGTATAGTAAAGCATAAAAATGTCACAGTAAGGCATTAAAAAGAGATGGTATAGTAAGGCATAAAAATGTCATAGTATACCAAGACATAAAAAGTCATGGTACAGTAAAGCATTAAAAGTCATAGTCAGTCATAAAAAAAGTCATAGCATAGTAAGGCATAATAATGTCATAGTATAATAAAACATAAAAGGTCATAGAGGCATATAAAGGTAATAGTATAGTAAGGCATTAGAGTCGCCAATAAACCTAATGTGCATGTCTTCAGACTGCAGGAGGAACCTAGTTTTATTTTGAAAGCAGTTGCTTCTGTTTATCCGTTTTATTGTAGGTGAATTTTGCTGACTTCATGCACCTCCCTCTGGCGTCACTGCTCGAGGACACCCCCACTCACATAACTGCCTATTGATACAGATGCTGCCAACATTTCTATCCAATATTACATCAATCAGTAACTCCACTAAAGTGGACATCATCATCATCCTCATCATCCTCATCATCCTCATCATCCTCAATGTACTGTAGAATTAAGGTTAATACAAGAACATGACTGCATTGTTGCAATGCAAGAAAATGTATACACATTTCTCCTTTATTATAGAAGTAAGGTTGTTATTATACATGAGGTGAATTTGGTGGTAGACTACAGTTGCCATACTTGTTACTGATAAAGATGAATCATTTTTAAAGTCATTTTAGGTTTCATAACTATAGTGACAACTGTAGAATGGACATGAAAAGTCTTTTTAATTAACAATGAAAGCAATATAAAAACTTTTTTACAGTGGGATTTTTAGCTTTATTAAAAAGCTACCCAATACTTACACCACATAAATAAAAGTTTAGAATCACTTTTTTTTTTCTTCCCTTTTCCACAGCATTAGATGCCACATGAAACATGCTGATCCAACATATTTATTGGATGAGTTTTAGTGAAAATAATCAGCCCAGCCAGTTATTTATTTGCTTTAAACTTAGTGGAAAGTTATTTCTGTCTCAGCACTGGGGACACAGTGGAAAAATGTGAGAGAAAACAAACTATCAAGTCCGGAAGATCCATGGATCCTGTTTAGTCTCTAGAGAGTGTTTACAGAGGAATGCAGCTCTTTATTTCCCTGTGCTGCATAACTGAGCCCTGTAGATGGGTGACAAGTTTAATCTGCCTCAACACATGGAAATGCCACTTTTATTCCATTCTCTTTTCTGTACAGCTCATGTGTCTGGCATATGTAAGCTTGTCTTTTTTGCAAGAGTGAATTTTTTATAATTCATTCAAGGGCTCATTTAATTCCAGAGAATGCGGAACAATTTTACTTATATGAATCACACTTGAGAATGAACAGAGCGGAGACATTGCTGCAAGTCCATGAATCATATCTTGAGCAAAAATAACCCAAAAAAGGAGAGATTTGTTTTGACTAAATAACAGGAAGTGGAGGTGATGAAGAGGAAGATTGTGTAGAGGCACAAACAGACGGAAATACACTGTCAGGAGAGATAAGGCGCTCAGACTGTATGAGACGCAGATGTAGTAGACTTCATGGAACTTCTTCCTCTCATTGAATGTTTCTCTTCTGGCTTCCACATACTGTATGATCTTCTCTTACTAAAAACAAATACTCAGACTGGTTAAATGTAAATACTAAGACAGGAATATCCAAACATCAAGATAAACACACAGTAAAATATGTTACAGATGTATGCCTATTGAAAGTCGAACATTGCAAAATATATTATATACTAATAAAATGCAGGTGTTAATTGTTACTATATACTATACTATATATTCTGTAAGTATAATCCCTGTATCCATAGTAGAACATTCCTTAGTTTAAGCGTATTTTAAAAGATGTTCATGTAACGTATTTCAGCTCATGCTACTAAATAAATTACTTAAACAGTAAGTTGTTAGTTGTCAGTACTTCTCTGAGTTGTGGAGCCTCCCTGTGGCCTTTTTTGGTCACTGCATGGAAACATGCATAGAGGTAATTGTTTACATTTTCTTGTTTCTCCTCTTCATAGTATCCACAGTTACTACCACTGAGCTAGAACGACATCTGTCACTGTCATGATGAAATAAGCGATAACAGGGTTTTCATGAGAGCAGAAACTCTCAACTCTCAAAAGCACAGGTGTTACTAATAACATTAACTATGGCTCCGTTCTGTTCAGGTGCTACACTACACCATGGCAGTGTGACAGTGAGCCAGCATGAACAATACCAGCACCACCGCAATGGAATTCAGCCATCGTTAATTATATTATTTACACCTGTGCTTTTCCTGATGTGACCTGTCAAAATGTCTCCAGTATAAATAAATGCAACTGTTTATTGTTTGTGTATGAATGACTACAATTTGTTTATTTCCTTCCTCTGGTAATTATTTCTAGTCTAATATATATACTCTGATATATGCTCGCTCTGTGTGGTATTTCTATGGATCATATAATATAGAAAAGAAAAATAATGACTTGCCCACACTTGCACTGGTAGGCTTTACTGTGACCATGAGAACTGCCTGTTATCTTGGACAATATGAGCCCTGTATGTTAGAAATATGGTTTTGAGTCGTTTGTCCTCACTAATGCTGCTCCACTGAGCCACCCAGTGGCAGAAATAGAAAACTACAGACACAGTTAACAGCTGGCTGAGAGCCTGTTACTACTGTTTGATTATTATTAGTCACATCAGATTGTTTTATCTGCTACCTGTAAATGGTTAAATCTGTGCCTCTTTCTATCAGGCCACACTTTATAAAGGGTTTATAAGTTGTAAATAATGATATCATCAATGGTTAATACATTGCTTATTAGCGTTCTACAGATCAATTATGACCCATTAATAAGAGCAAATTTTGGGTTTGCTGGTTGTAAAAAACTAATTTTGCTGATCCTCATGTAAACCACTCTCGTGGACTGTTTGACCTCTGAGGTCCTGGGAACCAGCTGCACAACATCTGGATCAGAATTACTTTATTAACACATCTTTAACATTCATAAGTGCAGATCTGATGGACTGTTAGAAAGTGATCTCTTTATTAATGATTTATTAACATTTATTACTGCAGATGTGTTGACTTATTGACTTATTTACACTGTGAATCATTTTAAGTTAATTAAACTTAGAGACATATGTTCCCCTGCTGCCTTCAAAATGTGAGTTCACTGAACTTAGGTCGAATACTTAGTTCAACATCCTCCTCATCATTAAGTTGAATCAACAGTCAGTTCAGACTTGTTTTCCTTCTACATGCTCTGAGTTTAAAGAGTTGGTTCTTCATTTGACATGAAGAACTTCCACCTTCCAGTCAGTACAAAGACAACATGAAGGCTGCTCCCAGTGATTATGTGCATGGATGTAGGGAGTGAATTCAACACTAACTTTCATCTTGGTGGTAGGCAGTGTTCACATTTAAGACCCATAACAAGTTTACATCATATCTGTTTTCTTCAAACAACGAGAAAGGAGTCTCTGGAGAGTTAAAACTCTCAAACAATGCATGATGGGAAGTCTGCTAATACGCTACTTTTGTCTCTTTAAAAAATCCAAATCAAAGGTCAAAAGAATAACTCATGTTCATAAGTTCTATAGAAGTCTGAATTAACTTTAAATTAAGAAAATGTACATATTTGCATTAAGTTAATGAGAAAAAGTAGTTGAGATCTTTTACAAAGAATGTCAAAACACCACAGGGATGTTTCACACAGAGAGCACAGTTGCTCTTATTAAAAGCTTATAACTAATCTATAGCATTAGTAAATTACTTATTAACCATTAACAATCCATTCATTCCAATATGAAGCCTTTATAGAAGGTACCTATTACCTAGTGTTAGTTACAGCTAAATGATAATATTTTATCCGGTGATACACTGAGCACTTTATTAAAACTGTGTTACTTTATAGCTCTAAATCACTTCACCTACACAAATAAATGATGGATGATGCTTTGTCTCTTGTTTACTCGAGTGATTAGCTAATTAATGCAAAGCATTGCCATGCAAAGCTTTTGGTTCAAGTAGTTTTAAGAGAGATAAAAAGGATGTAGCGGGGTTGCTGGGTTACAAATCTCTTGTAGTTAATTGTGTGTGAAGGATATGCAGCCAAATGATGTTACGAGTCTAATTTGCTTGTTTATGATAATGGAGACTAAGCATCGCTGCTGTTTATATAACATGAACTAATAATTTAAGACAAATATCATCACAAATAATTTGTTGTTATTCTGTACTTCTGTTCTCACATTCTGAGCTGCGACATACAGTAAATTAAACTATAAATGAACTAATTCTCATCAGACTAATTTTTAGTTAATGTCCTTTCAAAATAAAATAACAACAGTTTAGGATGTGGCTTTACTTGGAAAAGAAAAGAAAAAAAAATCAGTGAAAATGAAGACGAAGCCTAATTTCACCTAATGATAGGCCAACATGAATCCCAGCCAAGCCACTGCGTGTAGCTCACATCAGCTTCTCGTTAGTGGTCAGCACCCGCCCTTCGCTCCACGCCATCATTTTCACCACAGTTTACCACTCTAATAGGTGGGGAGTCCTCACATTAGAGACTTCACTGGAGTTGCTTCCATCTGCTCAGAGATCTGGACATAAATACTCACTATTTATTGCTTTGTAATTAATAAATAATCAAATAAATGCTCAGCCTCCTTCATATGAAGACACTGTTTATTTGTATCTTTGGAAAGCGATGGCTGTGAGACAGACACTAGACAAAATCTTCTTGTTTACATCACTGTCTTGCTGTATTGGTGCTTTCACATTAACTGATGCAGAAAACAGATTTAGTTTCAAAGAGCTGCTTGCGGGGTTCGCTGTTTAACCCTTACAGCACGGCTGTGATGTAGATCTGCCTGGAAATAGGAAAAGAAAAATGTTTCAGACTCTAGATCACAACAAATATTCTCTTTTCTTTTTTAAGGCCTTGCTGTTTATTCATTTTTTTTTCCTACAACAGCAAATTACAGAAGCAGTATTGAAAATAAAAGTCTTATTTTTCTTATTCTTGTAAAAAAAAAACAAAAATCTGCACAAAATTGAATGACAGTACAAAACGAAGCGTTAATATGCCATGTAAATGGAGGGGCAGGGACATTACTGTTGGAAAATCTATTATGCCTTTTTCAATAATGAAAACATCTCAATATCTTTACATTTCAGAATTATATCACATAATCTGAAACTATATATATAAAAAGATGAAAGAAATGAACACCTGTTTTTTGTGTTTTTGACTTTCTTCTGTTTTTTTTGTTTTTTTTTGCAAATGAATGCTATAAACACATAAACCTCTTAAATATATTTATCAGTGCAACATCGTTTCTTTTGAGTCCACGCTACAGTATCCTTTTTCTCTAGTTTAGCACACATCGCTGGAGCTACAGTCTTCTATAGCTGAAAGCGCAGACGGACAGTGGGGAGGTTGAAATGAACAAGCGGAGAATGTGTTCACCACGGCACCAAAAATACAATGCACACGGATGTAAAAGACGTAACTGATCTCAGGATCAAGTTTTTGATTGTTTGATTGTGGTGCAGAAAAACCACTGAGTTCCAGGTCCCACGGGCCCCTTGTGTCCTGATACTGGAAATCTCACACGGAGTTCACTCAGAGTTCCCCTTATAGTGTGTAATGGTGGGATTGTCCCATCCATCCATCTGCAAAACAAACTAAGAGTCTCAACAGAGATTTTTGAAGAGTTCACACTGAGGTGACATTTGCACATCTTTCAAGCTTAAAAAGAGATAGAAAAACAGACACATTGCTCCTCTCTACATGTCCCATCATCCCCCTGGGGAGTTTCTCTCCAGGGGCTCTGACAGGGCGAAGCAGGTAGTCAGTTCTTTTGTGACTGATGACCATTGGTGAACTGAATAGTTGTGTACTGGTGAGAACCCCCCCAGTGAACAGGAAGGGGGTGACCATCCTTTGGTAAAGCCACGGAGGGAGGCCAGGTGACCTGATTCAGGTGACGCCACTCGATCCCCCCCGCTGTACCAGTGTCCTGTCCTAATGACATCAGCTCTGACATCACAACGTTTATGGCTGCTACACGTGAAACACGTAAAACTCTTTGCGGCCCCACCAAGAGGCCTTAAGCTACAATACAGCATGTGAACAATACAAACTGGGTTTAATCATGAGACACGTTTGTCTGGCTAAAGTAACGATAGCACCATTCTTCAGTTAGTGTTGTAACCCCCTCGTTTTATAGGCTCCTATCATGAGGGAGTCGGAAACAAAGTGCATTCAAGCTGCATTGTCCAGATAGCACTTCTTCAGTGAACAATCCACAGTGATGTTTGGAGGTGAGTTAATTGAGTTTTCAGCTAAAAGAAAGCAATGATGATTGTTGGGTTTTTTTATTTTTTGGTATGCTGGCAGACATTTCATAATTTCACCACCTCCTTCCACATGAGTGTGTTTGTTTGAAGCTCTGTGAAAAATTCTGGTGACCCGTCAAACTCACAGAGGAGGTATGATGAAGAAATGAGAGAGTGCCAAGAGTTCATTATGTCAGCTTCTTTTTTTTTTTTGTTACCGTTTGACTCATTCGTTCTTCGGTGGTTTTTTCGTGAAGTGGGTGTTTCAGATTCGTGACAGATGGCTTGAATGCACATTGAAATCGCTGTAACATCAGCATCACACAAATCTTGCTCGTCTGAGCAACGTAATCTAAAATGAAAAAGACCATAACACTGCACCTTCCACAAAACAGTCAGGAGATTGTATTTACACACACACAAACCCATGAAAAAAGGGATACTGCAGCTTTTTTCCTTTTTACTTTCTTTAAAAAGGGCAATAAAATATATTAAAACTTATTTACAGTGTGTTTTTTGGACAGAAAACAACAACAAAACAAAACAAAGCGCTGTGATAGATTGTTTTCCTGTTTGGCAGGTATTTATAAGAGAATGTACCCCTGTTTCCTGTCATCATAACTGAAGCCATGTACAGTAAAAATATCAACAGAGGAGGCGAACCGAAATGTACTAAAGGCACTGTCAGAACCATACATTGCCATGAATGGGACCCTCACTTTAGAGTGACAGGGGTCAAAGGGGGAGGGTACATGTTTCAGGGTCCTGGGTTATGGGCACACCCTGTATGCCACACCACGGGGCAAATCTACAGTTTTGCCGGTTATGGTTCATTTAAGATTTTGATACGTCTCTTTCAAAAGTTGAAAATAAACAAACAGCCTTCATGAACTGATGAGGAAAAAAAAAAACATTTCTTTCCCAGAAAACGATAAATACTTTAAACATTATTAATAAATTGGTCTCAACACCAGCATCCGATTGTAAAAATGAATGAAAATCAAAATAGAAAATTAAAATATCATCTAAATCATCTGTACATATTTTTTTTCTGTATTTTATTTGTACACAGTGTCCCCTACTGGTGGGTTCTTTTTACTGCAGCTCCTGAGAAAAGCGTGGATCAGTCCAAACCTCCCACTGGGTCCTGAACCTGTCCCTCATCCAGTGAGTTGAGGGGTGTTGGCAGTCCTTTGAGCTTACCTACTCGCGCATAGGCGAGAGGATATGCCTACAGCCAGTCTTGTGCACGCTCTGCACGTCATACAGTCACACTAATGCACTCAGCCCCATCTCAAGCCTCCGAGTATGAGCTCTGTACATTGAGTTTGTCCTTCTTTAGCTTCACACCGTCCACTAGCTCAAAGTTATAGTTCTCCAGGGCTGATAAGTTCCTGTCCGACATGCCTCCGTGTGAGCAAGCGCAGTACAACACCACGCCGCAGATGGCACCCAGGAAGACCCCCAGGGCGGACATGGCAATGATAGTGATGAGGATGGGGTCGAGCGTCTTCAGCATGTTGCCCGCCCCGCTGATCTGGTTGGTCTCCACAAACACGGGGTATTCAGTGATGTCCTCAACTGCGGGGGAGAGAGGAGGAGAATGAGGTGTGAGAACATACAGAAAACTGAAGGGTTTTTGTTCGTTTTGTCAGGTTCCTAAAAAAATCCTCCACGTGAAACGACTTACGGATTTCATTGAAGCTATCCTCTGGCAGCATGGGCTCAGTGGGCACGTCAGGATCTGCTCAAAAAGAAATTCTGAATGAATACAATGCCGAAAGATAACTGCATATAGTCATATTTCAGATCAAGAGCTGAATGGAGGTATTCTGACTGCGAACACCAAAAGCCTCACCTTTACAGTCCGTCATGCTGAGCCCATTGAGAACCTTAATGTCATCCACAGCAATGTCTCCCCAGCTCTTTCTCTCCACCAGACCTTCGATCACCACCTTGAAAAAAAACAATAAAACACAGAGTGACTTTTCAAATACCTTTAGCTTGAACGCCCCAGTAGAGAGAGAGCGCAGGTAGAGTGGTAAGTGCCCAAACAAGTTACCGGCTGGAAGGTAGCGCCAGTTTCAATTGTGAAATTCATGAGAATTTTGATTTACCTGATAGGGTTTGTTGGTGCGAGGCACAAAGACACGACCTTCTCTCCAGCGGTTGCCCTGGTGACCGCTGACCGTCCACAGCAGGATGTCAGCCGGTCCGTCGACTGTCTGTTTGCGCTGTTTGATATGCAGCGTGCCGATGTGCGACCCGAACATGTGGTACCAAAAGGAAACGCACAGGTCTGAGTCCGGGGAGCTGACCACAGGGCTCACCAGCCGAGCCACCTCCGTCTCTTGGGGACCTGTTGCCAAGGTGTAGATGAAGTTCCCTGATCCACCTGTTGGATGAAAGAGCTCGTATTACACTGACAGAGAAAAGCTGTGAGACTGAAAGGAAAATGTGACTGTCAGCGTGTCTGAGCTCTCACCTGTGTGATCCATGTTGGGGCCCGTGTTGAGGGTGGGGGTGCCACTGGACTGGATCTGCCACCTAGAGCCAGTGTCCTCTGATGTCCACCTGCAGAAGGACGGGTCATTGGCCCAACCGAAGTCACAGGCAAACCACAGAAAATCTGCAAATATATTAAAGACAGGTCAAGATCATGTGTGAGAGGGGGATCCGATTTCAACATCCTCCTTATCACAAAAGGAGAATTTGCCAGGAGCGCTGGGCTTTACCCACACAGTGACCTGAGGGCATGTCATGATTTGACTGCAGGCTACACTTTGGGGGCTTAATCCACTCGACCTGACTAAGTTCAAGCACTAGAGGGCAGCAAAGATCTGCAGGACATAAAGCTTCGACTCCCACAGCTGGGGGACATAAAAACAGCTTCAGTAACTCAGGAGGGAGGAAAAGACCGGGAAAGAAGACAAGTTACGACTCTGACATGAGAAAGAGAGTGAACTGTCAGCGCAGACCTCATGTAGACCTTATATCTTGGCTGTAATGATAACTTTTAATGAATGTAACAGGCGACATAAAGAAAGGTATGGAGGGACATTAAGACCAGGCACAGCACAAAGATGGGCGCAGGGGAAGAGGAGGATGGGGTCTGAACACGGTGTCCGGTTGAGAAAGCAACATTCAGAGCAACCCACAGAGAGCTGAGGATTTTAATGAGAGTAGGGACTTGAGGTTTGAAGACAGCTATGGTAACAGCGCCAGGGCCCCATTCCAACAATGCAATCCCCCATGGACACACGCCGCGCTGAAGAAGTCTCCGTGGAAGCAAAAAAATGTGTGGGAGCTCGGGCTTTTCAAACCGGATAAATAAAGAGTCCTAGGGAACACAAGGGAGTGAGGTGCTTAGGATGTTATCCACAGTCTTAAACTCCAGCAGTAGATGCCTTTAGAGATACAATTAGGTGGTTCTCCAAATGACAGAATAGATGAGCCAATATTCCCTTTAATAATGGGAAGGTTTTAACTAGCTTCTGCAGGCAACGACGCTATTTACCCATTAAACACAGGAGATGGAATTCCCATGTGGAGCCGCATTTCAGACGCCAAGCCACTTTTTTCATAGAGAAATCCCATTCCCAATTAAAACAACTTTGGAATTTTTTTTTTTTGTTCCATTCTTGGGAGGCTTCGACTGAGGCTACCGACCAGCTCTGGATAGATGAGCAGCCACATGACTCACTTGGTCATGTCAAGAGAAAAGAAAAAAGGGACTTTTTCTTGCAGAATACCAACGGCAACAACATCCTGTGTGAGATTAGGGTGCACGGCACGCACATACCCACTCAAACACGGACACACGCATATAAACAGAACTGATTAGCATGCATGGTTTGAGGCTCTTGAAATGAAAAGTCAGACAGATAAGTGTTTATCCGCAGACACTTGGTTCTGTTCATATACACACAAATATGCATGCACACACCTGCACCTCAGCTCTCATCTATTATAGTGGCTGGTGCCCCAGCAGACTGCAGACAGACCACAGAGCCAGCTGATGGAGTGAAGGGGGCTGGGTGGAGCCTATGGCCCATTAGCCAAGGTCAGACTGGGGCACAGCCTCTCAGCTGGCTGCTGCCTCATCAACCTGCTATAGGAGACAGCGCTACGCTATGTGTGTGTGCGTGTCTGTGCATGTGGCCCCAAAGCACACTTAATTTCCTGTGGTCATTTGCATTGTGCTTTCCTGTTTTATGTGTGTGTGTGTTTAGTGTGAGTCAGTGTTGGCCCAGTGATTAGTGATTATGCTGAGAAGGCAGCAGCAGAGCACCAGTACTAATCATCAGCTAGCCCCGCATCACACAACCTCCCTCACCCTGTCAGCAGGAGCCTCTCAGGGCCATATCATCGGCTTTAATAACAGACACACATCAGAGGAGAGAAGCCGCCTCGAGCTTCATTCATTAACTGAGGTACGCTTCTTGATACATCTATGCAAATTAATTCACAAAAAACCCAGAGAAGTTTAATATTTACTCTATATTTCGACTTTCTGACCTGTGATATTTAAAGGCATTATGTTCAGTGCTTGGTGAGATGTGCAATCTGCTCACCTGGGACGGTATCCACTTCAGCAGTAGTGGTCTCTGGCATCATGGTACCACCTGTCACAACACATTAGCATAGTTAGCCTCGTCTGGCTAAAGAAGGTTTCTTCTCATGTAACTGCACCCATGCATTCATGTATCCATGCTAACTACTATTAGCTAAACAACACATGCCTAGTCTTTAATCAGTTCTAACAAGGGCCCTTCCTCTGTGTATCTACCAGGAAGCACTTAGATAATACTCTCACAACACGTGACTGAGGCGGTGCCATGCTCATCATTGGAGACTGCTGGTTAATGGGGGGTGCAGGCAGCAGTGCAGTGTCAGAGACTTACTGGGTTAGTGGGAAATTAGGCCAAGAGGAGTAAGTGGAAAAGAAGGTGCAGGAGGACAAGGCAAGTGAGAGATGAAAGAAAGGAGAGAGGCAGCAGATGCTCACTGTTGGTTGGTTTAGACGCAGGTGTGTGCAGATGTGCACGTTTGGCGCAAGCGTGATAATGCGCTCCTGTGGCAGAGGTGGGCTTAAGAGGGGACAGATTGACAAGGGAGGAGGGATCTACAGGTGCAGCTAATTAGAGCTGAGTGCATGCACGTGCGCTTGCAAATGTGCACAGTAGATGGCAGATTAGCCGCGGTATCAAATCAAAACTGTGGTGGCGAGCGGCGAAGCCAGGGGAAAGTGGCAGTGGCATCGAAATCGACGGGAGCAGATCAAGTCTGAGCCATTACAGAAGGGGGGAGGGGTTGGGATGGGGGTGGTTGCAGTCTCATGAGGGCGATGTTAGCACCTGTCACATCGTAGTCATCACCTGTGCCGCTGTGGCAGCTCGCCTGGTCGTCGTCACACTCATCCGACGGAGTAGTGCCCGGGACCAGTGTGGTGGGCGGGAGAGTAGGAGCTGTAGAGATGAAGAAGAGAGACAGCAGACAGTGGAGATTACATTATAAATTAAACACAGATAATTATTTAGGAGCTGGAGGGGATGATCTTAACGGCTTTGTGATTTCATTCCCATTTAAAAGCAAACCATCATCATCTTCTTGTTCAGAGAAGGAAAGCTCCTGCATTAAATTACATTCCTATTGTTTAGTCCGATCACTGTCTGATCATGTTTTAACCACTAATGACACTGAGATTTAGAGGGAAGACACTGCAGGGTTTGGAATTACATGACATCCGTTTGGCAGACGCTTTTGTCCAAAGCAGCGCACGATAAAAGCATTTACAGGCACGAGCTGTAGATTTGGTCTGACAAAGTGGGTTTTCAGCTGCTTTAATGGTTAAAACAGAAAATAGAAAAGAAAAACAGTAATATGTAAACACAATCTCTGCCCACAGTTACACACTGAGTTTCAATCTAGGCCTGAGCTATTAGCATCCCTCCTTTTATCAAGCTGTGGAGGTGTGGGTGTATAAATAGAGCTGAAGCTGAGGCACGGCGCTTTGGGCTTGGGCAGCTGTAGCTCAAAGATGCAGAAACAGGGCTTGGGATTGGCTATAGGCAGGGCCTCTGGCTGCCATAGTGGCCTATCATTATGGCTCTGTTACACTTGGATGTGGGCAAGGCCCTAGATCCATGCCACACTCCACTGCCGCACAGCCGTCCTGCGGTGTGTATGTGTGTGTGTGTGTGTTTGTGTATTTGTGTGTGTTTACACTGACTGAGTAATGAATGGGCTTCCCCAGTGCAGAGGGAGGAAAAAGGAAAAGGAGAGAGAGAGAGAGAGAGAGCATTATGGCTCTGTTACACTTGGATGTGGGCAAGGCCCTAGATCCATGCCACACTCCACTGCCGCACAGCCGTCCTGCGGTGTGTATGTGTGTGTGTGTGTGTTTGTGTATTTGTGTGTGTTTACACTGACTGAGTAATGAATGGGCTTCCCCAGTGCAGAGGGAGGAAAAAGGAAAAGGAGAGAGAGAGAGAGAGAGAGAGAGAGAGAGAGAGAGAGAGAGAGAGAGAGAGTGAGGCATAGACAGATAGGGGCAAGCTGCTGGAAAAATGCATTTGTACAGTATCTGTGTTTGCGAGATTGTGAGTGTGTGTGTGCATGTGTGTGAACCAATACTCTTGCCTGCTCCCTGTGCAAGATGAAATATGAGGCAGATCAACCCCTGTCAGATTCAGGGTGGGGAAGGTCAGGGATGGGGTCAGCGCTGCGTCAGGGGAGCCTCTCACAGAAATGAGGATTTAGCCCTCCTACTATGCCTCCTTACACACACACACACTTGTACATACTAGTAAACGCACTTGTGTGTGTGCGTGATTGCGTTTACATGCCTGTAACCACATGTTTGGCAAGGTGATTGCGGTTGCTCTGTGTGTGTATATGTCTGTGTGAGTATGTGTGTGTTTGGTATTAACACTGAAAACAAGCATTATCATCTGACTAAAGCTCCCGATGGGAGTCCATGAGGCTTACAACCGAACGGGCCTCCCTGAAATCCAATATGTAAATCCACTTAGGGCTAACGCGCTGCACGTTCTCGTATCTCTGAGCTGTTTCTGAGCTACATCAGCTTTGAGAGACACAGATAAAGAGCAGGAAAAAAAATAGGGGTAATTTTAAAGATAGTGAAGTGTGCGCCATCCTTTGAAAGAAGAAAGACATGGGGGTTGGGAAGAGTGCGATGGGGGCCAGGCTGCTATAATCCCTACAGGGCCAGGTGGGCTTTCATTTGATCTCCTCTAGAAGTGGCCAGCTATGGGGGCAGCTTTGATGTAACAGGGAGACAAGACAACTGTCCCTTTTAGGGATAAAGAGCAGGAGCTGGACAGCTGTGGGCTCAACACAGGAAGCATCTTTAAATAACCAGGACTGTGGCAAAGGCACGAAGCGCAAGCAATGTCATTAGCTAGGATGATAGATGGCTCACCTGTGTGTGTCAAGACATGTCAGATGTGAACACGCGCTCTCTGTGTATGAATGTACTGAGCCTAGGCGTAAAGCCATTATGGCCATTATTATATATATGACTATAAATGTAAAGACGTAATCACCAATGGTAGTAATGTCACCACCAAGAGTGAAAATGTTATTACTGCGCTGGAACTGTCAGCAGAATAGACGAATAAATGAGTGATAACTTTTCCACCATTGGTAGAAGCATCATTTCTGCTGACAGAGAAATCACTTCCACAGGTAGAAATGTCGCCACCATGCACAGAAACGCCGCTGCTACTTGTCTTATTTGCACATTAGAATCAGAACTGGAGTGATATTTTAGACAGAACACAGAGAATGCAATAGATTTAAACAGATATCCTAACAGGGGGGTTCTTGTTTACCTTCGATCTCACAGCCCAGGAGCTCAAGCCGCAAGCCCATGCCAGCAGGAGTGGCCCTCTCTGGGTAAATCCTGATGAAACGGGTCAGCAGGGAATCCACCGTCCTCAGCTCAGGAGTGTCGTAGTTGCTATTCCCTTCAAATATCTGGAAGACGGACAGAGACAAGAGAGGGAAGAGTGAGTGAGTATCAGTATTGCTGATAATGTTACTGCTGGGCGTTCGGATCATACAGCTCTCCATAAGCAGATACCCCGAGGCAGACTCAATCCCTGCCTTCTGGAAAGCAGAAGTTGGTCATGTGCTGGGTAGGTGGAAAGAGATGATGTGAAAGAACAGAGGATGACCAGCTAGCTCTCATCTCGCTGACATCTAAAGCGCAGCTTAGGCATCTGACACATGGGGCCCAGTGGCAAAGACGGTGTGGCACACACCTCTGTCAAAGGCGACTTTTGGCTCCTTCAACTCTGCCTCAGATCCCCCGCAAGTGAAAAGAATAAATGAAGGGAAAAGAGGAGGATGTGGGGTGTGAAGGAAGCAAGCAAAGGAGGAGATAGAGGATTGATGGAAGTGGATTAATGGGTGTGATCATGTAAAAGGAGCCTGGTGCGCCTTAGATGCTGGGAACCTCTTAGACAGGGGGAGAGAGGCAGCTAACTAGGACAGGGGAGGGGGTATGGATCCTCCTCACTCCCTTCATAAATCAACCATCAGCCCATCTGGATCAGATTTATGCCCTGTCAGGGACGCTTGTAATTGGGGACAGGCTGTTGTAGCTCTTCTTGGGGGTGTGTGCGTGCCCGCGTATGTGCTCGTATATACATTTTGTTTGTGTGTAAGCGTGTGCATGCATTGAGCAAAGTGTCGGCATGTGTCTTCTGAGCGCGCAGTGACACTGGCAGATAAATCTTGAGCCACTTCTCTATGTTGTGCGTTCTTTTTCTGCCTCTTTCCTCTCCTGTTTTTTCCCTCGACTCTCTTCACCACCCCCCTCCTTTGTCTGTAGCGTGGTTTCACTATCCACTGAAAGGGGTTGAGCGGTGTGTGTCGTGCAGGAAACAAAGCAGGGAGAAAAAAACTGGGAAAGGACTCCAAGAGCCACAAGATGCTTATCCTAATGTGATTCAAAGCGCTGCCGAAATTGACTCGGAACGACTGCTGAATGACTCACAACTGCCAGGCGCAACGCTCTGCTGAAAATTGACTAAGTGCGTCATAATCGGAATCAATGTGCTGATGGATCCGAGAGAGATTTTTTAGAAGCATGTATTCAAATCAGTTTCCACAACTTAGAAGGTAAAACCTATCTTTTGGTTTGTGCTAGAAATCAAATCAAACCATCAATTCCAACCAATTCCCTTGAGAGAACTTTGCCGACACATCATGAATCTATTGAGGGTTCTTTGGTTACAGTTATGTCTCTAATTTGGGAGCAGAACCGAGCAAATATCCCAGTGATGTCTGACTTCCTCAAGCATTGCACAAAGTGAAGAAAAACCTCTCACCTTTGGCTTGTTCCCGGTGGTGTCCGACACCATCCTCCACTCGGAGCCGTTGTTGCTGTAGCCGAGGCGGAACTTCTTCATGAAGACTTTGTTCTCACGGTGCTTCCCTCCCTGGATGATCAACCCCTTGACCAGCTTCTCCTCGCCAAGATCCACCTGCAACCATTCGTTGGTGAAGGGCTGGGGCTGGGGCAGCAGGGTCCACCCCGTCCTGCTGGTCAGCAAGCGAGCATTCTCTGGTACCCAGCTCCGGTCTGTGTGGGAGGACGCGGTGATCTGGTTGTCGGTGATCAAGCCTGATACCATGCCCAGCATGCCCGAGCATGGGTACTCTGAAAGACAAAAGGGAAAGCAAAAGGCGCTCAGCTTTTTCATACAAACGAATGAAAACCTGCAGAGATGATGGGAACATACGCAACAAAAGACTTGATCTATATCCGAACGCTTGATGTTCAACATAATTTAGCACGCCACAAGTCAAGTTTGGTGAGTTTGAGGTTCATATAGGGGCAGCAGGGAGAGTGAAAGTCAAAGTGAGGAGGACAATTCCCCAAACCCTTTGTGATGTTATTATGATCTCTCCCTCTATTCTCTTTCTCCCTCTCTCTGCAGATCTCATGCATACTAATTCCTCTGCCTGAAGCGGTTGTCTCCAGGCAGCCAATTAAAACCCTCCTCTCGGTTGGTGCTTCCACCTCCTGCATTCTGGGAGCGCTTTTTCTTTTCATCTCCCTTATCCACCGCCTCCTCCCTCCATACACTCACATGTACTCGCGCACAAAAAAACACACTCTCTTTGTGTTTTATCTGCTGCTGCACTCATCTACCTTCTGCTCCACAGCTGTCAACATCTGTGGGCCTGTCTTTTAACACCTCATTGTTTCCTGTCCACATTCTCAAACTTTCTTCTCCTTTTATTCTTCTCTGATCTTGCCATCTTAACTCTCTATAGGTTTTAGCTTCTTTAGGTCCATCGCCCATTTGTTTCCTAAGAGAGATGGCTGTTTTCCTCACCCTCGCTTCTTCGTGACATCCCTTCATTTAAAGAGCTGAACAGGATAAAAACCTGTTGCTACAGCTTGCAGCCATTTGCATGCTTTAACCTGAATTTTTTTTTTTTTTTTTTTTACTTTCCACGTTTTTGACTTTGCATCACAGAAAAAGTAGCAGGATATCCTGCGTCATGCTTGCTAAGTTATTCTTGAGATCGTATCTAATGAAATGTTATAGACCTGATAAAGATTTCTCATTAGCAATGCTGTTTGAGCTCCAGTGCCAGTTTTTGTGTTTGACCCACCCCCTTTTGCATTTGGTCTTCATACAATATGACATTTTTTTTGTGTTAGACTCCTAAATTGAGGTTGGACATTACATTTTCAAGGCATCATTGTTACCATTGGATGCACCAGACTGCTCTGAAAGTAAGGAGACGCCGTAATTTTCAAGGTTTCAGTTGTTGTGAATTGTACATTGATTATTTTTAAAAAGACCACAATGACTAAAAAAGCTGAGTCCAATCCATCGATTCATATTCAACAAATTCACATTCATGCAACATTAGCATTCTTTGAAGCGTTATATAATGATGGTACAATTGTAGCTTAGCTTTAGCTTTCTGAAACACCTAAAGGAGTAAATTACACTGACACTGGTCGACCGGTTGCGATGTCCTTCTGCCTATCTTTGCCCACTTTTGCAGTGTGTGAAGCCAACTTAAATACACTGGAGTTTACAAAAGTTCCTCCATGCTGTAATCACCACCAGAAGTCAGACACTTAGCCGCTTGTATTAGGACTAAATCTTCCTTCTGTCTTTTCCTAACTTTCTTCCAACGCTCAATCCCAGGACACTGAGTCAGGGTCCTGTGGTAAGTAATAACATATTTACTATCTGGCTCCCACGGAGGGATAATTCTGGGCATTATTACATCCTCTGAGTCCGTATGAGACAAAGTGAGCACTGTATCGCTGCAGGACTGAATAGCGTAGCTGCATCTGGGAAAAGTGAGTGAAGATTTGGAGAACAAGGCTTCATTCAGACCGGTCTTTCTCTCTCTGGTTATCTGAAGCAGCTCCTATGCAGCCCTGTGGGACCATCTAGTCCTGCACTCTAGAAAATTGGAGCTCAAGGAACAAACGCTGGCGGTGCGGAAGCTTCTCGACTGTTTTCAGAGTTTTTCTCCCTCTTCCTTTCGTCTCTGGCCAATATCTGTTGGGGAGTGATCACAGCAGCTACGGCACTGCACACTGGCCATCTTTGAAGTGGGAGGATATGAGGGGAAGGTATATGTGTGTATTTGAGTGTGTGTGTGTGTGTGTGTGTGTGTGTGTGAGTGTGTCAATGGAGACTGATCTGAGTTTAGGCACTTGGGTGAACTCCCCGGGTCATCTGGAGCTGTTAATCAACTTCAGCTGCGATCATAGAAGCTGCAGAGATGGCATGCACGCTACGACACACCCAGAGGAACCAATACATGTGTGTGTTTGTGGACTGGATGTGTGGAGATGTTATCCATGCCTATGCGGGCCACATTTGGGGTTTGGGTGGAGCGTCAGCGGTTCATCACAGATATTTATACTCCATGGCGTATTTACCAACAACAGGGCGGTGGATCTTTTTATTAATGCGTAGCAGTTTGTATCAGCAGGGACACGCGACCATGATCTTTGAGGGAAAAACATCTTGGAACATTCTGGGGTTTAACTCCTCCCCTCCTCTGATGTCTGAATCGTGGTCTTGATATTTTAAAAAATGCACCCAAATTGTTTTAAGCAGCTCTACACTCGTGTTTAGGCGGCTTCTATGGCACCAAAAGTTTTTCATTACATGTCTGGTATTACAGATTCATAACCGAAGGTACAACGGAGTGAGTCAGTGAGTTTATGCAGCCCTCAAGAGCCTCATAGTTTCTCTCTCTCCCACTGTGCTGCTACCAAGCAGCGGAGCTGGCAGTGCCTTCAGAGCGCCCAGGGGTGCTGACGTCATCGTGGAGGCCCTGTGGTGACTTCGATCCTGTGATGTGTTTATGCTCTGTGCGGCGGTCTGGTCTCATGCCCGAAACACACGCCCCAGCTGTAACCCTGCCGTACCCATAGTGCCCTCTGCTACTACATGAACGGATACACATATATAATATGTAACTACATAACTCCACACACACATACACAGAACTTCACACATGAAGACATTTGGCTGACGACATCTAATCCGGACCCTAACTTTAATCCAAGGCTTAATCCTGAACTGACAATACTTACAACAAATGGCTATTATCTGTGTTTTCTGTCCTTGTCAGATGTACAAGTACAAAAGACCAAAACACACAAGCAAGGACTAATTAACAGTCAATACACATGCTCATAAATCCATAGAGATGCAGCCAGATGCGCTAAAACCATATGAAAGTCAGCCGCACACATACAGGCAAATGCCACTCATTAAAATAACATCGGTGAAAAAAAATAAAATAAATAAAGATGAGAAAAGCTTTGCCGAAATCAAAGCTCTGTAAGCAAAAGACAGACTGTGGCTAAAGATGAAGCTGAGACCAGAGCAGCAGGAGGGAAGGGACCGCACAGAGCCCACCCAGCTCCAGCACTCTCTGCCTGCCAGCTGTTGGCTCCATTTATATTGTATGAGGTACATCTAAACATGGGGTAGCATAAATAGGTAATCCTCCTTCATGTGCCACTGCTCCATTATGCAGCAGCTTGCTTCAGCCTTAGAGGAGGACTCTCACAGAAATACAGCTTCGGTTTACACCTGGCAGAAGTGAGGTGTTTGTGCAACTGGGGCCAGGATGGGAAATACTAACTCTGCTGCTAAACCAACACTGAGACATGTGCAGAAATCATAAACAGAGTCAGTGGCATCGTCTGATTATTGCATTTGAAACTGTTCCGTATTTAATTTGGATATAATCAGAATTATGTAGAGTTTGTTTTCTGTGGCAACTGTAAGCAAAGATAAAGCTGAGATGTGTGTGTGTGTGTGTGTGTGTGTGTGTGTGTGTGTGTATGTGTGTGTATGTGCAGATCAGCAAGAATCTCAGTAATACCAACCTGATATCTTACATCCATACACCTCGAAGCGCAGTGCGATGCCTGTTTCCCAGGTAACGGGACGGATCCGAATGAAGCGCGTCAGTGTGGGTTTGGGCAGCATCGTCTTGGCAACGTCTGTTGGGTTGGTGTTGCCTTGGAAAACCTGTGAGAGGCAGAAGAAAAGCAAATTATTACACGGAGAACATGTTGAACTGAAATGAAGGGTGGAATATGCTTGAGACCTTGGCTGCATTGAATCAGGCAACAGAATCACATTCATTTTAAACCAATGAGATCAATAACTGGAGCTGAGTGATCAGCCTCTGTCTGCATTCAGTCAAGGCACTGACACAAGAACATCCAAAGAGACAATCTGTTTAACAAAATCTTCTATGTGACAGAAATATCACATAAAACAGTTGGTTGAAAGTTGGTTTTCCTGCCTGATAAACAGTTTCCTTTGCACTTCCTCTTGCACCACATGTAGCAGCACAAACACACCGCAGCCTGTGACCGTGAAACCTGAGGCAGTTAAATGTAACATTGACAACACCAGATTGGCTTTTGCCCTTTCTCTGTCCTCTACTTCCAGATCTGATGGAGGTTTTACTGCAGTGTCTTGTTAAAAAGGTCAGAGATGTCACTGTTCTCCCCTGGGGTCGGCTGACAGTTTACTAGCTCCATACGAAGAGGCCGGCCACCCAGCAAAGCAACTCCCCGCAGTCCGTCACAGTTCATTCTGGGTAATTGAATCACACCAGTGACCATACGATCCCCTGACCTCCCTGACAGAGCAGCTATGGGGCAGAGAGGAATCCAGCCGGGAAGAGCAGGATGGACAGATAAAAAGACGGCAGTTCAGCTAATTTTGGATGAACTAAAATACAATCAGGGCGGGACTTTTCTATCCATCACTATCCCTCTGTAACCCCCTGAGTCCCTGAGCGACACTTGTAAAGCACGTCACTGTGCGATCCTGCAACAAAGTCATCCACTCTTTTGAATGTCACGCAGAGTCTCTTCTCCACTCACTAACTGTAAAGTGGCTTTTCTTCAGACTCCAAACTGCAGGCTCAGCATGTAGCAAATGGCGCCCCTCTGCACAAAAGCACTTTAGAGTCCAGAAAAACACAGGCCAGGCTTACCATGGCACCTTTAAGCCACCACTTTACAGAAGGGACTGTGTACTTTGTGGAGACCATAAAAGAATCAGGCCCGGGGGCATGTGTACACAGCAGCACAAACATGCTTGTTTGGACACTCTGTTGCTGTTGAGAACTTATTTTTTCTTCCACTTGCGGCCTCGCACTCTTTCTATTTACATGACACACAACATGAGGACTACCAGGCACACATATGCCTCTCTGACCCCGCGGACACCCACAGTGGAGGGTGTGTTTACCTCCAGATGGACAAAACCTGGTCTGTTTGACAGGCCGATCAGCAATCGATGGTTATAGCGCTCCGGTCAAGCATGCCGTCCCTCCCGTTCCTTCCTCCTCTTTCCCCTCCTGGACCCACCTCTCCCAGCTGCTCAAACATGACAGCCTCTCCTTTTTCTTTCTATCCCTCTCCCCTTTAACTCTTGTTTGTCAAGTCGTTTGTCATCCCTGCTTCTTTTACAACAAGTTGACGGGAGCCTGACATAAAAAACGGTGGCTACACATTCTTTACACAATCTTCCCTGCATCTACTGCGGTGCCGTATTAGTGCTGCAGTCTGTGCTGTAAATACTACTCACTTACACACACGGTGGGTATATTACCATACTGAGCAAAGTGTATAATTGCATGTTGGGGGACAGAGACTCAAGTACATATAGCTGGGTATTCCCCACTTTTGTTGAGTTCAAAGGCAGCTTGGAGCAGACCACAATTCAAGTCAGCTGGCTGCTTTACTGAGATGGGATATTCCAAGTGCAGTTCATGTGCGGGGGTGGTTTTTCTGACATAGTCACTGATCAGACAGACACAAAAATAAACAATTTTTTATGATCTAGTCTGCTGCAATCCTCTTATATAGAGCTAGTGGGTGAAAAATTACCAAAGTGTCCAAATAATGTATCTTTTTTTATTGCAAAGTAATTTCGCCTGATAACTTAGAGCCTAGAGATGTTGTCATTAGACCGTTGTTGGGTGAAATTAAGCTTTCATTACACAAAAGTTGAAGAGTAAAGTCTCCTACCTTTTGTTTGGACCCTTCCTTCAAAGTGATCCAGTCCTCTCCATTAGAGCTGACATCCACTTTGTAGGACTTGACAAAGTAAACCCTCCGGGTCTCCTGGGAGATGGCGCCCTGGGTACCGATGGCTGAGACAAACCGCAAGAACCCAAGATCCACCTGTGGAGGGCAAGGAAAAAGAAAAAAAAAAAAAGACACAACTGAGCAAAAGCTGCTTAAGGTAGCTTTGCATGAGAAAATTCCACAGTAGCTTTAAGAATGCCAAGATTTTGCTTCAGTGTTTAGAGGGATGCTGCTGAAATATAATTCTCTTCTCCTGTTCAAATGCATGAATAATTTTTTGCAGAAAAGGCTTTGAATGCACAGCCTGTATTAAAAATCCACTGACAAGGTAGAGAGTTAAAAATATAACCTCACTATTACAATCACCTTTGGCCATAGTTTCATCAGCTGCTACCTGGAATTTAATAAACAGCAATGAAATGAGACTCGCATTAATGAAAGAGACACAGGATGACAACTTAATTTCCTGAGATGGGAGACAAGAGCGCGTTGGGTGAAAGTGAACGTTGAATAGAACGGGGTCTGCAATCACATTATCAAAATCAGCCAGGAGGAAAAGAGAGATACGGACTGAATATCAAATATTGTGCTTTTTTTTTTTTTTTTTTTTAAATATGCAGGGCTTTATAAAGTAATCATGAACTGCAGTGCATTACTGGAGGGCTTTTATATTTTCACAAGGAGGCAGCCAGAGGCGGTGGGGTCAGAGAGGCACGTGAGTGAGTGAGTGAGTGAGTGTGTGTCTGGGTGAATGTCTGTTCTGTAGTTGCATGTATATATATATTCACTGGTAAAGCAGCACAGTGTCTGCTAACCATCACGCCTGTTCACCGTGACCGTCACTGCCAGGAAACACACAAACACACGCTCTTCTACAGCTCGCCTTGGTTTCCGTTTCTGGGATGAGAGTAGCCTTCAAACTGGCTTTTGATCCTGTTAATGCTGCTGTCTGCTGGATGTCAAACTTCACTGGGACTTTAAGGGTCTGACTAGGAGCGTGGGGGACAGGCCGCTTACTGCTGGTTCTGAGACACACATATGATTTTTCAGCCACCGGCAATAACAAATCGGCTTGCTCTGACCTCTGCGAAGGCTACTTAACCTCACCGTGCCATCCCTTCATCCATAACTGAGGAAAGGAGTGGGCGTGAAGTGACACTGAAAGGCTTTAAAAGAATGCTAACTCCTCAGCGTACGAGGCAGTGCGCTTAATTTTAACAAGTGCTCACACCATCTCTGACACGCTGAGCTGACGTTAATGAGGAGTAATGGTGTTGCTTGCAGACGCCACGAAAGCGTGGGAGTGACGCAGGAAGCCGGGGCGTTTGGTGGAAACAGGTCTTCTAGGATCGCGATGAGAGACGAGGCCTTTGATGTTGACGTGTGATGGGCTCTGGCTCTGATGGATGGCGACCAGAGTCTCGAGTAGATTACTGAATCGACTCAGAGGAGACCATCGGTATGTGTGTGTGTGTAAAAGAAAGGGCGACAACAGTGAAATCCCTTTATGCGGGAGTGAGCAGACAGACACAGTAGCGTGCGCATATCTGAGAAAATCAAAGCCAGGTTCATCTGCTCTGGCATGTTAAAGCCATATAACCAGAGCCAGCTAGCTTTGTCTGCCAACCTTATATACAGCACTGTACCACACTTAATGACTCGGAGCAAAGAGCAGGAAAGGAACATCTGCATGCCACAGAACGCTGGTCATTCCTGCTCCTCAAATGCACTTCCAGGAGTAAAAAGACATAAACAGATGGGAGCAATAAATGAGGTTCCTCCATGCCATTCTCTCACTGTCTCTTGGCTACTCAAAGGATTTGGATGGATGGAGACTAACAAAGAAGACAGTCTCATATAAAGACAGAATTCTTTTTTTCCTGTCTACAGGCTCAATGGGCTTATAGAGTAAGTCCCAGATTTCTTTTGGGTCCACAAATAGAGACAAAATCAAATCCCGTCAGCTTCAGACGGTTCCCATTTAATAACGCAGGAGCTGAATTCCAGCTCTGCCGGGTAAATGGCCGTACGTGCCAGCACTGGATGGGGAAAGCACAGCGGATGGCAGCAAGGCCTGTGCTTGCTTATATTAGCCCAGGCAGGTCTTTAACATCTGCGTTCAAACGGCCCAGGCTGATTCGTTTCCAATCTGGGCCAATGGCAAAGCGGCTTACTGAAAAGGCTTACTTCGTCTAATAGGAAGACTTGGCCTTGGGATGTTTTCTCTGAAAGGATCTCATTAGATGTAATGGAGAAGTGGAGCCTCTGGGAATGAAACGAGTGGCGGGGCTAATTGGGAACACTCATGGGTGCTCAGACTCCAACAAGCCTGGGACATGAGCGTGATGAAGGATTGGACTGATACATGACTTTGATCAATATTCTGGGCCTGTAAAAGTTTTTTTTTTTGTAAATGGATGTTTTCATTTGATGGGTAGTAACTTGGGTGTGGTGAAGAGCCCAGTTTATACTTTGATCAGTTTGTGGTTCAGTAGTTTTAAGGTCTCACAAACCAAAGAGACGCTGAGGGCAAACTGAATTATTGTAATTATTTAAAGTTTCTGGCAGAAAAGCTCAAATCATGTGCAGCTTGAATCCAGACAGGGCATCAGGGTCACCTGTGACAAGAGGAGAAAAGGTGCAAGAGTGGGAGGGAGGAAAGGTGAAAAAAGCTGCACAGAGCGAAGAGGAGAAGGTCGGGAGGGGGAAAACGAGCCGCTGACAGTGATGCCTTGTAAGAAGTGAAGGACAGAAGCATGGGGTCTCCTGTGAAGAAGTGCACAGACTAGATCAATTTCACTGACACGGGCTGATAACAGGGCCTGGGTAATGAGCAAAGCATGATTTATTAATGGCTGCTTGTTAGAGGCAGAGGAACGAGGCCGAAGCTGCGCTAACAGACTGGGGTTGCGTGGGTCAGGGAGAGAAGACGGGCTGCCAGGATGCTTGGATGTAAAGCATAGTCCATCCCACACCACAGAGACCGCAGTGAAAACAAACAGGCCCAGATAATGATTACTAGCGGGACTCCTTTTAGCCCAGAGCCACAAACAGCACAAAATGACCTATATACATAAACCAATAACCAACATTTAGAAACTGCATGCAGTGCACTGTGGATCTTGACTCTGAGATGATAAACAATCAAGCCCCGAAAAGGCTGAATCATGCTTAATGTGTGATGTAATCACTGCACGGAGAGGTGTGAAATATGCCTCCTAATTTCACATCTATAGGGACGTGTCGTATTTTGAGACTTTGCTCATCTCATGTCTGTTCCACATCCACCATATTGTTATTCTCCTGTGAGGACTCAAGCTCTCTCTTATAGACAAATGACACTATACATTCTGGGCATGCTGGTGCACAGTAACTCATATCTGGAGGGACACACACACACACACACACACACTTGGACCCATAAACATGCCAGGCAGGGTAAGAAATCACCCAGACTTCTCAGAATCTTTCCATAAAGCCACGGCATGCTGATGTGTGGGCAGGACTTCACTGCGCTCTCGTCTCCTGCTCCAGCACAGTCCAAAGTGTGCTCGACTCTTTCGTGTATGTATACACTGTATGTATATATGTGTGCGTTTGTGTGTGTGTGTTTTTTGGGGTGTTCTCTGCCTTCCTGTTGTGAGGCAAACCGATGACTCAAAGCCCCTTGCCTCACAACAGCCAGTGTACACGGCTCCAGTCGTTTCACAGACTAATGAAACCAGAGAGGCAGAAAAAGAATTAGTCGTGCTCGGGCTTGTAACATCAGCCAGTTAAAGCCTAGTGTGCCTGCAATTAGATCAACATACTGAAATCCACATCAGGCATCTGGATGAGGCATATGTATGTATTTATATGTATATACATATATATGTTTGTGTGTGTATATGTATGTGTGTAAATGTGGGGATAAATGATGGAGAATGACTGCCAGGCAACATTTTCATGTATTTACGTGTGTTTGTGCAAATTTGAAGAGATAATTTACCCAGCTATCCCTCAGCAGCGGTGGCATTTGTGGGCGTAATCATCAGGTCTATCTGTTACTCAGTGTATTGTCTCTGTGCTCTATGACTCAGATGTAGATGCAGCAAGGCCACATGATATGTATTTGAGGCTGAAGCCGAGTCATTGTTGTGTGGGTGCAGCAAGCAGACATGTGGTTTATAAGGCCGGGCAGGGGAGGGGAGGGGTGAGGGGTGAGGGGTGAGTATCTGTTACTCAGTGTATTGTCTCTGTGCTCTATGACTCAGATGTAGATGCAGCAAGGCCACATGATATGTATTTGAGGCTGAAGCCGAGTCATTGTTGTGTGGGTGCAGCAAGCAGACATGTGGTTTATAAGGCCGGGCAGGGGAGGGGAGGGGTGAGGGGAGGGGGTGGGTGGCGTTCAAGAAACAGCAAAGGCTCAAAAGCTCTATCTCTTGCTGCTTGATTGCCTTATAATTGAGTTGCCAAGAAGTTGTATGCACCAAGCCGTACTCTGGGAGAAGTTTACCAAAATACACTTTTTAAAATCCATTTCTCTGCTTCCCCAACAGAGGGGGTAAAAAATAGCTTCCCATCTATGTGTATGTGTGTGTGTGTGTGTGTGTGTGTCTGTGTGTATGTGTGTGTGTGTGTGTGTGTGTGTGTGTGTGGGCTGCTGGCTGAATAACCAAGGCCTCCGGGGAATGAGTTTATTCGTTTTCCCTCACCAAAAACAACAACAAGAGAAATGCCGAGGGTGAGACAGGAGGGAGTGCTCCAAAGTCAAAACAAGGCAGCTGTGACACAGACCTGAGCCCCCCCCCCCCCCCCCCCGCCGCACGCCTTCGAAAAAAACATCTTCTAAGGATGATAGAGTCAAGGTAAGATAGCCTGGAATCATCCTGGCCCATCAAGTAGATGCAAAGCCTCTAGTCGCCTGTTTTTTTTTGCATACAAAATCTGATTAAAATGTCCTCTGTATGGTAATGAGAGAGAGCTGACATTTTTGTGAACTGCCATACACACAGCTACTTCCCAGTGCAGCTAAAGATATGTTTCCAGCACCAGATGCAGCATTTCTAAACCCGGCTCTCAGCAATCGCTTCACTAATTTCACCGGCAGCACTCTGGTGTTGGTAGCGGAAGGATTTTGGAATAGCTCCATTACCTGAAAGTGTAATTAATTCTCCTTTCATGAAAATTGTATTACTCTAATGCTGCAGGACCTATGAGCTCCACTCAGGACCTTCCATTTATCACAATACTCACCTGACAGAATTACAGTTTATTTTTAGCCCCTCGACACCTCTTTGGTGGCATTAAATTATGCATGTCTTCCCATGCACCCATCATCTGTTTTCCTGACAAAGAGGGATGTATAGGTCAGACAACAGCTATAATAAAATAAAAGGTTGCCTGGTTTGTTGTGTGTGAAGTGTGCGCTCGGGCATGTGGATGTTCTGGCGCTGCATGATTAAAGGTTTCAGTCGCAGCTGTTAGAGGAAGGATTTTTAACAGTCTGGTTTTGCCGTTTCCTTCCCTGTGAATCATCTTAAAGACTCTGACTCCGGGATCATTCTCGTCCTCGCCACACACACATGACTAATGCTCTGAGTAATGATTATGAAACCAAGAAACAGTGATCAGGACGGAAAAGAGGGCGACCTGAAGGTATGTCACGTCTGGAAGCCGCTTGATGATCCCATCCCAGGATGTACAGCTGAAGATGACCGTTTGGTGATGACGACTCACCGCGAGGCTTTCAGGCATTTCCCTACGTCTGCAGCGCAGACACTGAAAATGACACTGATTACGGCTGAGCTGAGTTTTTGTCTCGAGGTACTTATGCAGCACTGTTTCATTTCATTACATCATGCCATCCCTCATGTTTCGATTTCTAGTCCCACTTTTGGGCTACTTCACTCGAGTGCGGGTCTCTATCCTCTCATTGATTTTCCAATCGAGAGCGAGGCCTGGGAGCGGCGCAGCACAGACGGCATCCATTGTTTCCATTTGTACGGCGCGATGATGATGATGATCTCACCGGCAGCCGCATGCCAGACTCGGCTCCTCGGTTCTCGCTAGGACTTCATCAACTGAGAAGCTGCTGTTAATTACCAGTCCATATTCTAATCACTCATCACTCAGCACGGCGGTAAGCCCTGGACTGGGGACAGAAGTGAAGAAGGAGACAATGGCAGTGAAGGGGGGCATTTCTGCAACTCATTGACCTGGGGTAATTGAAAGCACATTTGGATGAGAAGGAAAACAGGATATAATAGAGCGCGCTGGTTTCGGCGTCTGATCTTCAGCTCTCCACTTGAGGCTGCAGAAATGATCAACTCTACAGTGGCTACAGCGGTGTTTTCATCCAGGAAGTGTGCAATTAGCTGTGGTTCTGTTGGCCAGGCGGTGGAAGTCGACCTGTTATCTTTGCTAAGTGGCCCAGGTTTCACCGTGCTGTTTGCCTTACGGACTCACAAGAGGAAATATGGTTAAAGCGGGTCATGCCCCCATGTCCCCAATGTTTTAAACTCCCCGTGACAAGCTCTTCTGCAAATGGTTGACTTTACCTTGAGATTAGCATCACATGCAGGAGATAGGAGAAGGAGCATGCTGTGTAAACACCCACTGATATGCTTCTCATGTTCAGCGCTTTCATCTATCAGAAAGATGAGATGAAAGCTTGTTTCATAAGACGAGAGCAGAGCAGTTCACTATCTCCTCTCCTGATTAAACAATTTAGGTTATCAGACGTATAGAGGCTGACAAATACTTAAACACTGATGAAGCAGTCAGGGATATTGCATCCTGACAAGAAGACTGAAGATAATGGCACGAGCCTTTGCAGATAAATCATAGAAATTAGGAGCAAAAATGAACTCAAGCTCATGAGGATAAAAAATCCTGGTATATGGGATATCATGTACTGTATATTGTCATTATGAGATGCTCAATAAAGAGGCTTTCAGGTATTGACAGTTGGGTTCTCTCCAAGACAGTGTAAATTATTCATGTTGTGTGTGTGTGTGCGATCAATGGAGGCTGCCTGACTGAGATCCAGTTTTGCTTTTATCGCATCATTCAGGTGCTGCGGTGACTCCCGGTGGCCATCATATCCTTCCGCCGACGTATTTGACAAAGCCATTCCACACTATGCCAACTTCTTCGCAATTTGCCCCTTTGTCACGGTCCCAGAGGAACCGTACATTCTCAGGCCGTGACACGCCAATCTGAAAACATAAACCTTCCCCTTAGAGACGAATGTGCTGTGCACATCCAGGTATTTCCTCACCGGTGTTATGCATCACTCAGGTTTTTCCTTCCGGAGCCAGCCGGAGTCCGTAAAGCAATGATCCGGCCATAAACTGGGTAGTCTGGGGGTGTACCCTCATTTATTTTTGCTGCAACCTGCTGCAGAGATCCTGCTGTTCATCCTCTTATGCTCCAAAGAAAACCATGGCTCACACAGCCTGATAATATGCACAAATCTCCCTCCACCTTGATGTAGATCTGTAGTCCCGAATTTTCAAGAGGAATGAGGAAAAAGGGCAGAAGAGAGGAGTGAAAAAGAACAAGGAAAAAAAACATGAAATCCTGTTCTAAGGGATTATTGCCTCTTTCTTTACTCCCACCTCGAGCCGCAACCCCCCCTGAAAGGACATCTGTCCATCTCTGTGTACACCAAAGAGTTGATTAATGACCTGGCTAACCCAGCACTCGATGCTCAACCACACCAATCTAATTACCCGCAGAAGAGAGCACAGACTCTAGTATCTTGCCCTCCTCTTCCCCATGCATCAGAATGAGGCAGCATTAAAATGGATGGCAAATCTGGATTATGTTCAGCAAGAGAAAAAAAGAAGAAAAAGCAGAGTGAAGGAAAATGCCCCAGAATCAAAAGGCCGCCTGTCATGAATAATAAAAGTGTCGGCCTCAAACTGCAGTCGGGGAATGATAATGAAATAAATAATGAATTGATTACTATGCATCTAACGGTGCAGTGAGATGATTTATACGTGCCGTGAGGGGGCCTGAGCTTGTTGCAGCAGCGCCACGGACAGGCTTGATGAAAGAGGAATGAAGAATTGAACACTTTTAATACCACTTGTGATAATTGGGCTTCTGCTCAGAGTGCTCACCACAAGTGCATCACACTCCTTAGAAAACATAAATTACGTGGCAACCACAGACTTTGGCTCTTTCGCTACATTTGAAATTAGAACTCAGAAGATCCCCCCCAACACCCCTATTTGGTGTTTTGATCCGATTAGTACTGGCAAATCAGCATGCCCATTAGAGCACATCCCATTTAAGATCCATATAATTTTTTTTTACCCAAATCAAATCCTCAATATGATCGATACCACAGGGAGCGTCTGCAGTGGCAACAAATCATTGTGATCACTTGTAATTTCCGCTGACAAAAAGGCAAACGGGGGAACAGTAGCTTTCGAGTCTGTGCTGCAACCCTTAACACACATATCTGACTATGAGCAATGGACTCTCCGTTCAGAGAGACAAGAGACTGTGCAACTGCTCGGGAAAGTGGTAAGGGAAGCCATCTTTCTTCCCGTTCCACTCAGACACATGCTGCGTTCCTCTGCAGGACAATATGGACCCTGCCAGACCCTCCCACTCACCCGCGAAGCCAAGAACGAACACAGGGACACACACACACAGGCATGGGAGAATGCGCACAAACCTGCACGCATACACGCTCACACACTGATTAAATTAGTCTGAAGGAGCAGCGGGGGCCCCCAGGACAATATTTTCATTGCAATAATAAAGGAAAAGCTTGCTTATGGCCCTCCCCTAGCAAATATTTGGCTTTGGGTCAGCTCTATTATTCATCCCCTGAGGAATACGCTGGGGCCAAACTTTTCAGCGATGAAGCAAAAGCTGTAGAAAAACAGTAGAAAAAGAAAAACAGTCTGGGCATTTACAAGGCCTGGAGGCTTTCTGTTAATAAATCAAACATGCTCCAAATGCATCTAGGTAGTGGTGCGAAGCTTGTGTCGCTGGGGGGTTTGTGCTGTGAGTGGACTTGGGATATGTGACTTATCCCCATATGAGGATGTAGGAAGAACTAAATCCTTAATCTTTCCACATAAAGTTTCCCTGGTGGGTGATGATCGCTTTGTGCAGATAAGCCGTCAGACAGAAAAATATGACTATTTGTGTAGCCTATTTGTGTGTTTGAGATTGTGTGTGTGTGTGTGTGTGGATGTGTGTGTGGCTTAGCAGGATGCCTGGACTAAATCCCAGCATCCCCTGGAGGTGGACTCTGTTATCAAGTAAAGGGAAAGTTATCAGGTGTGACAGGAAAGACAGAGGGAGGAGGGGTGCGGACAGATAGGTAGACGGTGACAGGGAGAGTGGACACAGGCAGTTTCTGCGAGGCGTGGACTCGACCACCCCGGAGGTCCATCAGGACGGCCGACATTCATCATCGAAATTGCTGGGTCTCGTCAAAGTGTTGTGGAGAAGCTACACCTCCGGAGAGTGAAGGACAAACACAAGAACGCTCCTACTGCGCTCAAGCAGGCAGTAGTCACTTCTAATACTGCATACAACCCTCAGTTTGTGACTCACCTCCAAAAAACCTACTGCAGGCAGCTGCCACAGCCGACTGCTCAGATATTCTCTGCCTTTCTCAGTAGTAGCTTAAATTATTTGTCATATTTGTATCAAAACTCAATCATTTCCTCTATGACATGTTAAGTAACGTCGTACCTGTATCCACTCTTTGTTTGAGTCTTCTGCCGGCGTCCATGCATTTTCGTAGTAGTTGAGTCTGGACCGCTCTGGGGACCAGCTGGGGTTGTACTGGGATGAAGCCATGATTTGGTCTGATGTTATGTCTCCCGATTCCATTCCCAAAGGGTCACTACAGTCAAAGTCTGAGAGGGAGAGGGAGGTGGTACGGGTGGGGTCAGATAGGAGGTAGAAGAAAAGGATGAAAAAGGGAGAGAGTAAAAAGATGTTTAGTTGAATTCCAAAAAGCACCAGAATGTACCCAGTGTGTGCTCTCAGTGTCCTCCAGATTCAGAGCTCGTCTCTGGGGAGGAGGACACCACACGACAGGCACTCAGGGCTGCGGGCTGGAAAAGAACAGCACATCAGCGACGCCTCAGTAAATCCTTTCTGTTTCTCTCTCTCTCTCTCTGGTTTAAATGGAGGCAGGATGGGAAGTGTTCCGCATTAGGACGTAAAAATGTCTTCATAAAACATTCAGCGTGGGCTAAGTTTGTGCCAGTATTAGGCGTTAGTGACTTTCACTCCAGTTATTTCTTCCACTGACTGGATCTATTTCTCTCACCTCCCTGTGGGCAATTTATCTTTTTTGCACATGGTGACTATTTTCCCCAACTTGGTCTCTTGGGGGAGTTTAGCTGTGTTTAGTATCTGTATTTTGGGGGCATATATCACACTCAATGGCCAGAGCACACATGGTAGAAGGTGGCTTCCCTTGTTTGTGTTGACATGGGACAGCCGTTTTGAGGCATTCTGGGCTCTGTGGCTAAAGACTGAGCTGGGTCAGCTTGGGGTCAGCCTCTCTATCCCCTGGAGGTCAGACATGCTGACACCGCTGTGGATGGAGCTGCGGCAACGGCTAGAACCAACGATGTGACCTTTTGATCTCGGCAGGATTCATATAACGTCACCGCGACAACACAGAGGTATGCGAGGATGCATTTTTCACACTATTCTTCGCCTTCTTGTTTATTTACTTCTCTTTCGGACCGGTGGCGAAGTTGGTCATAAAGCACCTTGACAGCGTTTCAGTCACAAGCCTGCTTCTCTAAACGCAAGGCTACCGCTGCCGCAAACATACGGTCCTTGTGTGTATATGGACACACACACAAACGCACACACACTCAGAGGGCACAGGATGAGGAGCAGTGTGGAACTGCTATGTGGCTGCTGCCTAAGAGCTAACACAGATGGTCTCCCCATCTGCCACACTGCTAACACACCTCAGTCACTGGGTCAGCGTGTGTGTTTGTGCTCTACGGTGTCGGTGCACGGTTGCGTACGTTTGTGTGTTGGAAGTCTTTGTGCTCGGCTGAGAAAACTGTCTCACACCTCTCCCGCTCCCGTCGCCGCCGCCGCCGCCTCTCTTTGAGAAGACTGCCTGTTCTTGTCAAACTTTTTTTTTTCTTTTTTTTTTGTGCACGGGCCCACATCATCTAGATTGCTCATGATCAACAAAAACACAATCAGGCGTTTGTTTGCTGCAAAGGACTGTATCTGATCATGTGGATTAGCGAGCGAAGTGGGGTTGATAGCCAAAAAGATAGTGAGTGGAGGGTGGAAGGAAGGGTGAGGAGGGTGATTGCGCGGAATGAAAGCGAGAGAAATGGGATAAGAACAAAAGACAAGGCTTCCTTTCATCACCTTATCATCTCTCAACAGTAGCTTTCAGCTAGAGTGTTCTCCCTTCCCCTTGCCATGCAGAAGCGAGAAAATCCACCGTGTATTATGCATAAGGGGATTATGAATGATTCAAGTGGTACAAGTCTGGAAAAGCACAGACAAAGTTTGGAGTCTTTTCTGTCTTGGATGGCTCTCAGTTGGTGATGTAAGACCTAGCAACTCATGTAAATTAAGGTATTTACTGATCACGGGTCAGATACTTCACCATGCCTCACCATACTAAATGTGAAAAGTTGATTTGGGTAATCTGATCTTAGATGAGTGATTAAAGCAACTCAAGCAACTCAGAGGAATCTGAGGAGAAATGACATCAGCAGTCATCCCCCTGCTCATTACTGTCAGGCGGGGTTGTCTCATTCATTGTGTGTGTGTGTGAGTGTGTGAGTGTGTGAGTATGCAGCGTCTGTCTTCCCTTTGGGCAAAGACAAAATCCTCTTTAGAGATGATTCGTAGATTTGCTGAATGTCATCCATCTCTATTACTATACAAAGACTGACTGACTGTGTGTGTGTGTGTGTGTGTGTGTGTGTGTGTGTGTGTGTGTGTGTGTCTGGGGTGGTCTCGCCTCTGGACAGATTTATGACTCTTACCGGCGCTCGTCCTCCTTAATGAAATGTTTAGTTGGAGCGTTTTGCAAAATGGGGTGGGGAGGTCAAGCCCCGTGACGACGATGTTGCATGTAAAAAAACCCTGGGGGTAGTGTGTGAGTGTGTGTCTGGGGTAGTTAGTGGTGCCTTTTGGAGCCTGTCTGGGGCCCACAGTGTGTAAACGTAGGTCTTGTAAACCACGGGAGGTGGACTCGTTCCCTGTAACACATTTCCCAAATGAAGAAGCAAGAGGTGTTTATTTAATAACTCTTAAGCTCTTTTAAACGAGTGGAAACTTGTCACAATAGGAGCAGCTGCAGACAACATCTGCTTCTCACTTTTAGTAATATTCCTCTGGTGGTTACTTTATTGCCCTCTTATTCTTATTCAACTACCCAGTTTCAATTCTGGATCCTCTAACACAAATCCAGTGAACAAATCTCTCTCGCCTCTGATTTCATTTAGATTTCTACCTCAGTTCTACAGATTTTTTTTCCCTGTGTTCTTTGGCAACGTCTGCTCCTCCCTCCCTGGCAATCCCATCTGTCTGATTTCCAGTGTTATTTTTTTTAAATTTTTTTTATGCCAGCTCACCCTCTGGAACGGTCCTTTCGATGACGGTGAAGTTGGCAGAGAAGCCCTCCTTAGCAATGGCGCTGTCAGTGTTGATTGTTAGCGCCAGGATGCCTGTGTAGGAGATGATCCTGCCTGGAGTGTTCTGCCCACAGTACCTCCCGACGTATGGACCGACTGCAGAGAGAGAAAGAGAGGGAAAAGCACAGAAGTCGTTACACGGGTTAGACTCGGGTTAGCCTAATATTTGTTTGTTTGCCACAGCCTTGTCACACATGGGTTTTTACTACCAACCCCCCTCCTGCAGAGGTGTGAAAACTAGTGTGTCAGTGAGGTATGGCACCGGCTGCATTTTTTTACTCGACCCCGTAACGATGCGTGAGAGGAGACTCCCGGCATTCCTTGTCTGCCTGCCGGTCAAACACAAAAAGAGAAAAGCGGAAGAGGGACCTGTGGCGTGGACAGGTCACGGTCTCTGTCTATTTGATGGCTGTAAATACTTCAGACTTCCCAACCCTGTTGTTTTTTTCATTCTTGTGCAGATTTGAGTCACACACCAGCCATGGACGGGTGAGTTTTGTTGAAGGAGACCAAACAAGTAAAGACTGAGCAGAGACAATAGGGGAGCATTTAAAGACAGAGAGCAATAAAAAGGGGCACGTTCCACTGAGCAGGACGGAGAATGGCCAAACAGGAGGGGATGGAAAATGGGCAGAGGGGTGGGGAAACATCGGGAGAGAGTGATGTGGTAACGAGGGAGAGCAAGAGAGCACACTGACCTTGCCCTGTGCCTCTGATGTGTGCTATGATCCATGCACGTTTGTGAGTGTGTGTTCCTGTTGCTGTGCAGGGACCTGCAGCTTATCTGTGATTAGTAATGCTGTGATCAGCGGCGAGTGACAGTCCTGCCTCCCCGCAGCCTCCTGTCATCCAAAACATGCCTCTTCCAGCCCAGCTCCAACATGAAAGGTAGAGGCCGGGCCACAGGGAGTTATGGGGGCAGAGGTTTGGCGGCTCAGATTAATCTTCATAACCCAGGTGTGTGAGAATCAGTGTGTGTGCTTTTAAATCTACGAAAAGCCTGAGCTAAACACAAAAATGGCATCTCCCGGATTATCTGCATGACTCCCCAGTGCTATGAAATTTTAAAGAACCCTGCTATGAACTCTGTGTCCTGCCCGCCTTCCCTGCTCCTCAGGGAGGGGGGAGGTGGAAGTGGAGGTTTTTCTTCCACAGCGCCTGGACACTGAGGTGAGGTGAGAGGTGGGGGTAGAGGGAGGTGCCACTCCCCTGGTGCCTCACGGAGGCCTGCATTTGCCCGGACATCTCCCACCTCTGCGCACCCTGACGGCTAGCATGACACCAGTGTTCTGTGCTAATGTACTATCGACCCAGCAGGCAGCACGGGAACCGACCGGCAAAAGCCAACGCACCATTTTTTCTCCCATGGCTTATTTTTATAAAAGTTGTCTGCCACATACAATGACACTCTCAGGGTGTGATGCCACGTCCATCTGAAGTGATAGTGTTCAGTTTCTGCCCTGAATAGGCCTCTTCTATTGTGTCGTACTTTCAAGTGAGAAATTTTCAAGTGAGAAAATTTCATTATGTCGGAAGTCGCACAGGAAATGTATCTTTTTCCAACCACAGAGGTACCTTTTTTGTAAAAATATGTATTTAAAAGGTGATAATAATGTGACATATTCTCTTCTCTCTAATCTTTAATCAACACAAATCTTGAGAATTAAACATGTCCCACCTCTGGGGAAGAATGTACAAATGAGTTACGGATATAGTGTGCGGAATCAAAGTTCAGCTGCGCACGGGCACGAGCTCAGAGAATATTTGAACTTTTAGTAAACTCACTTGAAAAGGCGCCTGGATTTACACTTCAACCTCATCACCTGCAAACGCCGGAGAAGAGAGCACTGATGTGCTTGTAGAGAAATTCTTTCAGTTTTCACCCGCTGATGGGTAAGAAAAAGCTTTCATCTCGTCTGCACCCTGTGTTGGAATCGCTGGGAGAAAAAACTGAAAACTTCAAGAGGTGAGTCGCAGAGTTCAAAGCCTCACGTCGGGCTATGGAAGAACACTGCTCCTGTTCTCTCTCTCTCATCTGCTCACTTTTCTTTTTCTTTTTTTATTCTATTTTAAGGCAATATTTTATTGTGCGTCTGAATGTACCTTTGCTCAACCCTGCAACCAGGTGATACTCTAATCAGGACCAAGCCGGTGCAAATTCAATAAGCACTTTTTTTTTGGGGGGGGGGACTTCCATAGGAAATTCCTTTTAGAGTCATTTCCTAAAACATGGGATTGTGTTCTCTGTGCACGCTGACGCAGGGAGGCAAAAACTTAAATATCATAGCTTACATTAGACCTTGAATTCCCAAGTGTACTGACACTAACAAATCCTCCGACACAATGCTGGTCTGTGACAGAAAAAGGAAGGGGGCGGCTCTCGTAATCAGGAAGTGTTTGGCACTGAGCGATGACGAAGCATTGTGCTCGTGACGACAGACTCTTGGCCCCCCGCCAAGTCTGGTTAAAGCAGTTAGCCCACTGGCCCGGATAATGTCATCATAGTATGTGAAGCTGTTCATTTCCCCTGGAAGAGTACTCGATAGCAGATTTCTAAGCAGCGGGATAATGCAAATTGATGCAGTTAAGTTTGCTTACGTTAGCCGCTGTAAATGAGACCAAGTGAGGCTGTAGCTGCAAAAGCCCTGAACGTATTCAATTGTCAATGGGTGGATTTTGTTCCTTATGAGTTTCTTTTCATTCGTAGCAGAAAATTTGTTTCATTTCCTGTTTCATAAGATGCACAGTCTCGGTTTAAATCACAGGTACAACAGAGCGCAGTCTTTACTGCCGCTGCCTTCTCACCTCCGGGGAAGCCGTCCCAAATCTCCAGTCTGTCGTAGCGGCAGAACACACCAGTAGGGGGTGTCGGGTCGGGCTCCAGCTCGAAGCTCTCGAACTCCAAAATGATCTCGGACATCTTCGGGGCGAAGATCATGAAAGTGCAGTCCAGGTTGTTGGGGTACTTCTCTGGGAACCCGGGTGACTTTATGACGCCGCTGTTGGAGGTGAAGTTCCTGGAGCATTCGGGACCTGCAGGAAGGAAGAAGGGAGGAAACGAGACATGAAGTGAGAAGATGAGAGGAGACGGGGACAAAGGCAGGGGTGGGGACGATTCCTTTGACTGACTGTTGGTTAAGTGATCTGTTTTGTGTGGCTTTGTGCGGTGGGTATTCAGACGCTCGCCTCCCAGCTGGTCTATTGAGTGGAGGACAGTTTATAGCCCATAGATGAGAGACCACCTTGATGGTTTCTTCTATTCACTAAAGGCTACATCTGGGTCTTAACTCCGCTCGCTGTGGACTCACTATGGGCCTTTTTTTCCCTTCCCCTTTTCACAAACGTCACACTGTTTCATCACTATGTGTGTGTGTGTGTGTGTGTGTGTGGGTTAAATCTGTAACTCCTGGAACATCTAGACTGTAAGTGTAAACATTAGTGAAAGGCCTCAATCACTAGAATTGGAGAATGATTAATAAATGGCTTGATTCACACTGCAAAAACCTCTCTTTGTCACTCACACACACACACACACACACACACACACACACACACACACACACACACACTCATCAGGACACGTCTGTGAAACATATGAGAGGTGCTGAGGCAAAATTACAGTGTCAGTGATGGAAGGCGACGGCAATGACTATACATACATCAACACACGCTCGCACACGTTAACACACATTTTTACACAAGGGAAAGTCAAAATATTTATTCACAGCTCCCCGGAGAGCTGCCTTTCAGCTGATGACGAGCATTAACACGTTTCTCATGTCAGCCACTTTGTCAGAACATAAGATGATGATTTGAGAATGATGACACATTTTAAAAAAAAAAAAAAAAAAAAAAATGATGCTAGCAGGTGCAGGGAAAATTTAAAGAGCGACAGAAAGAGAAATGTTCACTATCCTAGACTCAAGCACTGGTCCAGAGTGTTACCAAAGCCTGGCTGCACACAAACACACATAACATACAACAGCAGGAAAAAATAGAGGACTGTCATCCAGGGCAATTATTTGGAGCCATTAGTGGCAGAAATGTGCCCAGGATAACGTCATTTTCACGCCAGTCTGACAGCCGGCATGATGGGTGCAGATGGTGCCGATCGAGACTAAAATTGCAGGGAGTTATCTCCTGATAGAGCCTCTGTACTACAGTCATTGCAGCTTAAATGAATGTGGCAAACTGCTTTTTCCACTGTCATTCAAGTATCTAACTGGGCCCCTAATTCAAGACCATCAGGCCCACTTCAGCCTGTCCACCAGCGGAGCGAGTGAAGGGGAAACGAGAGCCATGTTGACTTTTCTATCTCCGCAAGTTGAAAGCCGCGGCGTTTTGACTCGAAAGAGAGTTGACATTTAGCGCAGCGGCTAAACTGTGGCTTTCGAGAACAGTGGACACCATTAATTTCACAGCTTCCCCACGTATTTACCACCGGAAAATAGAGAGATTTTCCCCGAGATTAAAGGGTTGCTGCGATGGTACAGTTCTGCACTTTAGCTCGCCGTATTCAGGAGAAGTGTCAGTCAGAGTTGGGGAAAAAAAAAACTATAGTTGCAAGCTGCTTCTTTGAAAAAGGCGCCCCTGGTCCCCTGAGTGCTTGAGAGAGCAGCAGCATCCAAAGTGCAACTCAGGTCAGTGTGTTGAATTTCCTGTGGATACCGTCTCAGAGCTCCACTCTCTATCCATCTCATCAGCCCCAACCTTGACCCTTATCTCAGCTCAGCAGTTGACACAAACAGATTTGGTCTTATTCACTCTGAAAATCATTGAACTTTTCCATAATATTCCATCAGTATCAAGCTCAGTACTTAATGACATTTTATTGAGTTAATGCATTTGTGAAATTTGGAAAATGTTCAAGGACTTATTCCGAAGTTTACTTTACATATCTCAACATCACCGTGTTTCTGTGTTCTTGCTGAATCCTCATGACCCAAAGACAGATTCCACTCTTGTCGACTGCTGTGTGTCCGCGTTAATACCCCCCCTCCGAGAAAAGGACAGAGCCAAGACATCACAACAAAATAGAGTGGCAAGAGAAGACAGAGCGCTCTGGTCCGTCCCACCGGCAAGATAATCATCCAACAGATCTCTTTTATCTAGTGTCTCCACACGGGAGGGCTCTCGTCCCCAGCTCCCCTCGTTACACCCACGATGCTTTGTGCTGATGCCTGCATTAGAGGGGTTCAGTGATAGCAGTCACGCTCCTCTGTGGCAGCGTCTGTACGTATAGCATGTGCGCATGCATCTTTGTTGACAAGGAGCTTCAGGAGACAAATATATCCTGTTGTCAGCCAAATGCTTCCTCCCTGCCCCTCACTCACTCTCTGTCTCGCCCTTGTTTTATCGCTGCACTTGTTGGTGTCTCTCTCCCGGCAGATTTATCGCCTCGACAGCGAGAATGGGGAGAAAGAAAAGTTTTGAACCAGGACATAGAAAGGGTTTTGTAAATATGACAGGTAACAGACGCGAACAAACGCTGGTTTGGCCTCAATGTACCCAGTGTTCCAACCACTGCTTTTAAACAAACGGCTGGATTAATGACGGGAAGTGAGGAGAGAGAAAGAGTGGTAACCTTGAACGCAAAACATTTACTGGCAACCTCCAACCAGGCGCTCCAACCTTTACTGCCGGCAGTAATGGATTCTTTTAACTCTCGTTTATATCGAGCCCCTTCTCCTCTGGACGGGGGAGTAAACAAATGTCAGTCCCACTCGCTCGCTGACTGATTAGAGTTTGTTTAACGGGACAAGTTGTAGCCAGCAAAATGATATTTAATGGAGATCTGATTTCAATCTTTGCAAGTGTTAGAGGTTTATAATAAATCTTAAATAAATATGGTTTTGGCATTAAGGGAGCAGGGCGCCTTTCGGCTGTTAGTCTTTCTGATGACTTGTCCTCTATGTCTCTATTAAGCCGTTGCTCTAAGTGCTGAAAGCAGAGCAGAGACTGGGCGTTAATCATTAGAACAACACTGTGCCATTGAACAGGCATTAAATGTGACAGCCTCTCGCTATTTTCATTTTTAGATCTGTCTCTCGCTGCCTCTCCACATATCCTCTCTTCATTCTCATCTATGCATCCCTCTCTCCTCAGTCGGGGTTATTAGTGGCCGGAGCCGTAGGGACTGAAGGTGTTGTTCTTGGACTGCTAAGTAAATCAACCACTGTTTATGTTCCATGTCTCTCTCTGGCTGATCATTAGCCCAGTTCATCCCCTCCCCAACCTCTACCCCTCGGCATTCACCCCCCCCCCACGCTGTCCTTACACCACACCGACAGAGGGATCCTTCGCTGGTGGAGAATTAACTCTTTGAACACTAAATCAAACATTAACCTGAAGCTTGTGTAACTTAAAGTGTCAGTCAGGTTTAAATTCACACACACACACACACACACACACACACACACACACACACACACACACACACACACACACACCCACCCTGAGGCACCGCACTTCTGACATGGTATTTAGTGCGTTGACTGTGCCTGGAACGTCACTTCCCCCCTGTCCAATGAGGGATGACACAGTGCTGATGGGATACGGGGGGGGGGGCTCCCTCTGGCTTCCCTTAAAGAGATTTGTTGTCTTAGGTTTCCATGAGGGCTGCGTGTGTGTGAGTGTGTGCGTGTGTGTGTGTGATGACAGTACGTCTATATGCCAGATGTGACCTATGCCATCAGGGTGTGCCGTCCATGAAAGCAGAATGTACCCTCTATTAAGCCCCCCCCGACACACACACACACACACACACACACACACACACACACACACACGGACACGCACCTTGAAAGTGTTTTCACAGGTGTGTGCTGAGAGTTAATGTGCCCACATCATGATGTCATAATAAACAGAGCTTTAGTGTGAAAGATGGTGTTTTTTTGTATAAGGAGGAACATGATAGGCCTCCCTCCAACAGTCACTCTGCTGAGTAATTGTGAGGATGAGCTTGTATGTATGTGTGTGTGTGTGTGTGTGTGTGTGTGCGCAAGAGGGAGGGAGGGGGCTGCCAGCGGCACTATCTCTGCCTCCTCGCCCACTTCAGTGGGCCCTCAGCCAGCCTTGATGTGGCTCTGAGCAAACTGTAGGGCTGTTAAAAGAAAACATATGCTGTGTGAGCACGCTTCTTCTTAAGAGGATGGATGTTTCCAGAAACACTTGAGGATTTTAAGTGAAATCCTGTCAGATAACGGGATAAACAGAACGACCAGGATTTCGTTGGAAGGTCGCCGACCTCAGAACTTTGTGGGGCTGCCATAATGAATGTTTGTCCACACTGGTTGTTATTTATCATGTTTTATCACCATTTCTAGACTGTCTGGAAGTGGAGGGGCTCAGTAAAAGACACACTCAAACACAACCATCTTGCTAATCTTCTCCCATCAGTTCAAATATTCCTCACTCTCTGATTTATCCCTTCTCTCTATCTCCCAACATCTCACTCTTGCCGGCTCTTGCCAGACTTCAGCCAGTGGAGCGAGGCTGCCAATTTGCAGGCTATAAAATAAATAGCCCATGCTAATTAAGATGGTTGGATGGGATTGAGGAGCGGAGAGGAGTAGAGACTGATGCGGAGGCGGCCACAGAGAGCCGCAAAACAACCTGTTCTCTTCCAATTAGACACTTCGCAGGCTACCGCTGATGAAAGCCCGGGCTACGGACGCCAGCATGTTGACGTGTGTGTGAAAAGTGTATTTACATAGTTTTACAGCTGAAGTGGGTAAACCTGCACGTGTAAACACCGTGCATATGATCCCTGATTTGAGGAGCACATCTTTACATATATTTGTGTTTATATAATTATCTTCCATGTGACCTTTGCTTGTGTGAGATGAAAGGCAGTACCAGTCCCGGAGGTTGAATACCAGTGATCTCCAGGCCTATAATCACGGTGATAAACAGCCTGCATTTTTTCCATTCGCCTTCATTGGCATGCATAAACGCGAGCCTCCCGTTCCTCCATCCGTTATCAGAGCATCTGTGTATCATCATTAACGTTACATGTGTTAGCCAACACAATGTTTTCCCAACTAATACCCTGCTTGTTGATAAGCTGTGCTAATCAGCTAGCTTTGTATCTCTCTCTTTCTGCCTGGTGCTCTCTCTCTCTCTCTCTTTCTCTCGCTCTCTCTCAAACAAACACGGCTGTTAATTGATCTCAGAGCCCCGTTCTTGGCGCCGCAGTAGTTAAAACGGAGAGTAAACTCAAAGCATAATGAAGGTCTGGATACACTAAGGAAGCAAGAGGAGTGAAAAAGTTCTGTCCTGGGTTTAATCTGCGGCAACACCCCTGGAGCCCCCCCCCCGGTCGTGACTTCCCTCTGGATTCCATCAGCAAAAAGCACAGATCCTGATCTAGCTTCAACTCTCTAGTCCTGACTTTCTATCTTACATCCATATTTCTTGCTAGATCCGTATTTCCTCATATCTCAGCGCCATACGAGTGCGTTCAGCAGTTTCTCCCCTATCGCAACTGGGCCTGTAACACGCCTCATTTATAATCAGCCCTGGCTAATAGATGAGAACGGGAAATACCAAGAATTTAGTAGATTTAACCGGCCCCTCGAGGGGAACGAAGCAGCATTGATGAGTTTGCGTATGCTGGGGCGGAGTGTCGCTTTGATCTCCTAAATGGACGCACACTCCACCAGCTGCCCCGCCGTGGTGGTGACATGCACAAAAGCCCAGACACACAAACACAAGCACAAACACACACTAGCTCAGATTAAAAGGAAGGAGGGACCTTGCAGGGCCATTCATCTTGTCTCCGAGGTCACGGGGGCCGTCCCATAGAGTGCTGCTGAGGTTAATTAATGAAAGTGAAGTCTGTAGCACCTGTCTGCCTACTAGTCACTCTACAGATATGTGTTGTCCTCCCCCTGCTTCTTTTAGTCCAAACAAAGCAAGGCAGCCAACAACGGGACATACTCCCTCATGTCCTGCTGTGTTCAGATAGACATCCCCTCAAGATATTTGTGGTTTATCATACCTTATTCCTGACTAAAATTACCCAGAGTTCTTAATTTTAGGTTGAACACGAAGGGAGGAACCTCAAACTGATGAGATACCGTAGCAGCACTCAGAAACACGAGGAAGTGAAAGCATTTCCTGAACTTAAACCCTGTTAAAGGGCCCATAATTTACATTTTCCTGTGTTTTATTTGAAGTGTTGATCCATCAGAAGACATATTTGTGGTTTTAAGAACCAAAAACCATCTCAATGTAGTTTTCTCTGGAGCTCTAGTAAAAACAGGTCAGTGAGCCAATCAGAAAAGAGGAGGCTCTGGGCCTCTCCTCTGATTGTCTGACTGTTTTCTAAGTTATCAAATAAAAATAAAGCAGATTTCAGGTAAACACTCAGAGAAACCAAATCCTGCAAGGTTGGATGGTGGGTCCAGGTTGGCGGGGCTTGGGGCCTTGCTGAGAGCGATGACTGCTTTGTTGTGACATCACAAAGTAACAGAAGTCCTGACGGCTGGTTTTAAGGCTCAGTTTCTGAATACAGGCTGTGTGCATTTCTCTGAGGACTGAGGCTTTGATACTTTCACAGTATTAATATAGAAGCTAGAGCTGATCTATAATCAAAACAGACATGGAAATCTACCTTTATACAATATGGGACCTTTAATTGTATTGAAGTCACTTTCTCCAGAACCAGTTAGTCACTGGTTATAATGGCAAGCTCCTGTCCTTGCTGTGCTGGTCCTAACTTACCAATAAAACAATAAACCAACACCTGAAACAACATTTGTTGAATCAAAGTTCAGCAAATTATGCCCTTGCTTATTGTATAATAATTCACATCAGACAAGAATTGCTTCAATTATGGAACATATGGGGCTATGATTCATTGGTTTTGAATGCAGCATATTGCTTGCCATATTGTGATTGCATAATTTGATGCTCTGGTGCTTTGACTAAATCACAAACAAACCATGAAATTAGACAGAGAGGCTCTTTCTTGCCCCATTATCAGAATGATTTCTCCAGCTTTCACACCGCATCCTGCTCTGTTGGTGTGATGGATTCAGCTAAAGACAAATCATTCCAAAATGATCTGTGATGTGGCGTCGTAACAGTGCTTTCCTACCCTTAAGTCAAGAGCTACTTTAAGAAATCAAGTGAATCATTTTAATATCAATAAATCATTAACATTTTGTTTTAGGCGTGTAAGTGCAATCAAGATCAGAGCATTGCTAGGAGAAGCTTCTTGTTGTGTCTACACAGAAACCACAGCACAAAACTAGAGGATGCTGCTACTCTTCAAGTAGAAATCACTAAAGCTGTTTCTTACAGTACACAGATTATCTACAATTTACTGACAGCTTGGTAAATGGAAAGCTCCAGGTGCGCTACTAAATGTACCTTGAGATGAGTCTTAACTCTCGTCTCTTTGCAACAGAAAAACAAGTTCATGAGAAATGTGGCTTTAAATCTGAGAGAAATCATCTTTTTTGGACTTAACCAAGGCGGCACACTTATGATGTTAACATCTCCAGTGATGCATCACGTCACGCTTCGCACAGTTGGGGTAAAGTGAAGCTACGGCTGCATTAGGCCACACACCTGTCTTGAAGATCTCATATCGGATGGAGAAGCCTGCTCCGTGGGTCTCGTAGTCAGACACAAACTTGATGAAGAGCTGGTTTCCTGAGGATACGACTGGAGAGGGGGCGATCTTCCCGCAGTACTTCCCCACCAGCTGACCGCTCTCGTCCACGCCGTCCCGCACCTCCACGTAGTCGTACCTGAGCAAGGCAAGAAAAAGAGAGGCGGTGTCAGTCGTACTGCGCGTTCAAAAACATATTCTCTTTGAGGTTTGGTTTTCATTTTATCCTGGTGAAATAAACTACATTAGTTGGCATCTAGGACATTACTGCCGTGTTGTTTATACTGTGCATGTATGATGACACACACATTCATACTCAGAGGAGCACACAAACACAGAGCAACACAGCATATTGTGCAGGTAATGTAGTGGAAATAAAACACTGTGTACTAATGAGGTCTCAGGTTAAAACTCAGAGAACAGGTGGGCAGGCTTTGCTTTCATTATATCGACCTGGCACACACACACTGCAGAGGTTTTGTGCTCCCAGCAGCACCGAGGTCAGGTTTACGTAACTGCTTCAACTACTGAACTTCAGCTGAACAGTTGTCTATATCCTGCTCAACCTCAGGATTACACTGACAGCATGTGTGTGTGACTGTTCTATAAGAGACTACGGGAATTGAAAGTGATTATATTTTGGCCTTTGGCTTAAGGTGGTGTATAGACAGAGCAGGTGGTAAAGCTATTAAACATACAACCACATACACACACTCAAACATCGCATTCAAATGGAATTTCAGACCCACGGCTATTGAAGGGAGCAGCCGCCTAATTGAGTCAGCGCAGAGTTTGGGAGCAGAAGAGGAAAACAGCTTTGAAATAGGATTGGGAACAGGAGCCATGACTGACGCCCACACACACACACACACATACACACATACACACACACACACACACACACACACACACACACACACACACACGGAATCTGGCATGAGAAACTTAAGATGCTAGAGGAGAAAATTTGAGTGACTGCGCAACGAGGGTGGTCTAAACAGCCTCTGGTTATCACTGTGTGTTTTCAGAAACTTGTTAAGAGGGTACATTAAATGCAATCGAGTTCGTTTTACTCCACTGCCCGCATGAGTGTGTGTGTGTGTGTGTGTGTGTGTGTGTGTGTGTGTGTGTGTGTGTGTGTGTGTGTATGTGTGTGTGTGTGCGTGCGTATGTGTGGGTTCAGATGACTTTTCCGTGCTGTGCTTTGACTGTGAGTGACGGGGCGAGCGCCGCTCCAAAAGCAGATTTCGGTTCAGGTTTCCAGAGTTCCTAATTGCCCATAACGTCCGTTCCCGCCAAGTTTTCAGCTCTGAAGGCGACTTAACAGAACATGTTCCTGCCCTGAACCCTGATGACCTGCCGCCGCCCTCCTCCATCTCCATCAGACACCGGAGGAGAAAAATGCAATTCACACACAGTAAGTACTCAAATTAATTCTAATGTATGTAAAGTATAATGCGCAACAGGTGTGCAGACACATGCAATCATATAAACACACACACACACACATACACACACACACACACACACACTCCTTCTGTCTCCTCAGAAAGTATGTGCCCTCTGGGCAAAGGGGCCTATTTTCACGGTTTCGCTTGATTCCCAAATTACTGTCAAAACATCAGGCCTCTTTAGCGATTCTGAACACACTTAATTCACAGGATTTCGCACAAAAAGGCGATTTACACTTTGAATGATGGCTCAGGGCGGGCTAAGTCCCTCAGGTGGGGCCTGACATGTATCCACACGCACTGTTTTCCAGCTCTTTCTGTGGAAATGGTTTCCTTCACCTGCCTCAAAGTCAGAAAACATGTTTGTAAAACAGAAATCAAATTACCGGAGGTGATTTGCGGGGGAGTTGAGGAGGGAGGGTCTACCGGGTTCCCAAATGCGAAATATAGTAGTGGGAGTCAACTTGTGACGGGGCGAGACAGAGCGTAACTCAATGTGGAGTTGGACAGAAGTAGCACTGCTTGAAATTGCGTCCCCTGAGGAGATGCGGTGGATGACTTCACTCATCTCTCTGTTCAGAGACGGTGATCTGAGGTGATCCGAGCTGTCAGCACGCATCAGGTGTCTCCTCTTATTCTTTGTCTCTCCTTTAAATTTTTATCGTCTCAGGTTAAAGGTTTGCTACGTGGCGAGAAAGCTGCCGTCTGTCTCTAAAATACCCGATATCCAGCCCTTTGTTCCACTCCAGGCAGACATTCATTACAAGTCTCATCAAACACTGTCTGGAAATGGTTTCCCTCCACTTGAATTTATACATTTTAAAACCCTTTATGAGCTCAGTCCTCTCATTTCTGTCGCCTTCTGTGTGAAATCCCCGGCTTGGGTTTGTTTGTTTGGCTTCTCCTCATTTCTCTTTGCTGTGTTTCAGAAGCTTGGCTTCTTCCACAAGTACCACTTTGTTTCAGCTACTTTATCAGCTGCAGCTCTGTAAGAAATACTAGTTACACATGGTGTTTACAATGTTATCCCCCCTCCCTCCTGCTTTGTGGCTAACCGGGCCATAATTTAGTTTAAAGGGCTCCCCTGAAGCAGGGATCGGGTTTCTTTTGTAATGATGTCATTGTCTAGTTTAGTCACCAGAGCAAATATTTATGAGAAAGAATTTAAAGTCTAACCAAAGTTACAAAACTCAGATAGATAGATAGATAGATAGATAGATAAAATACACAATGAAATAAAGTTTAGTGTGTTTCTGCCTGTGGTGAAGTGGTTTGTGTTCATCACAATAGACTGAAAAAATATTCCAAGAAGATGCAGCAGTGTGTTTTCCTCCCCAAATTTTATCTATTTGTGAAATCAATTCCTCTCCTCTCCTCTCCTCTCCATCTTTTGATTCACAGCTCACAACGGAGAGCATCAATCTTTCTGTAGCTCTGCTCTGTTCTATCAGCAGACTTATAATTCACCTCAGAGTCTGTGTCTCTGCAGCTATCTGACTCCTCCCCTGCAACTGCCAAAAGCTGAGCATTGCCAGACGCCTAAAAAATTGATGCTGAGATGCATCACTGAGATGAAGAAGGAGAGGAGAGCAGGCTGCTGCACAGCTGAAGGAGCTGAGCAAGTGCATGATATACTGTGTGCGCAAACGTGTGCACATGCAGATCATTATGCACATTGTGTGGCATCATGCATTTAGTGTAGCATGTAACCATCTCTGTGCATGTGAACCGAAGCCAAATAACTAATGTTTTCATTTCGGCTGTCCTCACTGAGAAACTAGTCTTATTGTTGCTTCTATTTCAGCTCGTCGCACCTCCAGAAAAGCTGTTTATTGCATTTTTACCCTGGTGCATCATCAGATGGGATGGCCCCCATAAAGGCGGCACAGTGGGAGAGAGGATGCAGATGGAAAGAGAGAATACGCCCTGGGGGGTCCTCACTGTGCTCTATGTGCGAGGACAGACAGAGAGAAAGAAAGAAGAGACCTCTAAAATTTCTCTATTTGTGCCTAAATGACTGGTGCGTCAGCCAGAACTCCATCCAAGCCCTTATCATCTGGAAGACATTATGGGGAACGCTTGGCGGGGGCAGTCTGACGCCTCCGAAACACTCTCCTGTTGCCGGCCGTGTTAAATGTAGCTCTAATCCACTGCTCTAAACACCTGTGAGGACTTGCTTCTGGGGTTGAGAGTCTTCATGGAAGGCTGGAGGACAGGTAACAACCTCTATCTCGGATCATACAGGAGGAAGATGAACGTGGCCTACTTTTAGGCCCCGGATGGTTTCACGTTTTCGGGGTTTGCCTCTTAACTCCGTCCTCCTGACCTGTCGAGTTAAACTTAGATTCCTCTTCTCGCAGGTGAAGTGTGTGGTGATTTTTTTTTTTATGTTGTATCGCTGCTGTTGTTGTTGGTCTTATTCCTCATGACAATACAATCCAGTTGAGCCACGCACCTATTTATCTGTCTAGTCTGCTTTGGGTCTGGGTGGGCCTGTCCACATACCACAACACACACACACACACACACACACACACACTGATGATTGCACACACACACACAAACACACACAGTGAGCTGCCTACCACAGTGCTAATAGTGAAAACGGTTTGCCAACCCAGTGGGGAAATTAAAGGGAAAAAAGAGAGGGGTAGGGGTGTGAGGCGGGGTGAGGGGGGGAGTGGAGTGAATGTAATTCTCAACGACCTTCGCTTCACCGACTCAAATGTATTAGCTCGCCTTCTTTCTTCAGGCACAGAGAGAAAGCAATCCGCTAGTGTCAAACGAGAACATTAGGCCTCCTCGCAAAGCCAAAGAGAAGGCGACAAACCGCTGGTCTAACAATATAACAGTTATATTGCCTGAAGCTTTCCCATGGAAATAATCTGTCCTCCCTCTATAAACGTCCGCTTGATATGGTTCTACAAAAGCAATACAATCTGAGGCAATGGAATAACACTATGACAGACTGTATAAGCCTCATACAATTGGTTAGAGTTCTTAATCAGACCATTTATAAGCTCCAGCATTCTGTGGGAAAACCCCACAACAAGAGCTCTTTCTTTGCTATTACTCTCTTTGGTTCAGCTGTGTACGGAACAAATGTCTGACACTTTTCACCGCCATTTCTCTTTCTGTGGCTGTCACAGTGTAACCCACTATTGCACGAAAACATGTCACCTACAACATGTCAAAACATCTCCCGAGTAACACAGGTGAAAAGGCCTCTACAACACGCTCGGGACAGCTCCGTGAGGCCCGGGGAGGCTGAGCAGGAAAAGGGGACGTTGTTGTCAGCTGTCAGGAAACTCGAAGCCCGTGACTTCACAGGTTAACGAGTCTCGGCTAACAAACTGTCATTGGGGCTCCAGGAAAACATCATTAACATTTGTACAATGGGGCCCGAGACAAGCTGATCGCCCGACTTACTCTTTCCGAGCCTGGAAGGGACATATCGCTGAAATAAAATGATCTCTTTCTCCACTTTCCCTCCCATACTGCCTCCCGTCCTGCATGTGACATTCATTAACCTGAGCTAGAATAACAAGTTCCTTCTTTCCTTGGGTCCAGTGCAGTTGTAATGACCCAAGCGTCAGCTTGCCTGGACACACAAGGAAGAACAAAAAAAAAAAAAAGAAACCTGGGCAGTAAACCCGGTCTACATCGTAATGTTTCAGCTACAAACATT